GTGCAGGGATTCTGAGTAGAGGCCTCGTGCCTGCAGGGCCAGCATACGAGTCCACAGTGTTTGTCTCCCTCTGGTCTCCTCTGCCAGGAAACACTCGGGGGGGCCTGGAATAATCCTGGCTTCTGGGCAGTTCCTGCACCCTGTGAGAGGGTAGCTCCTCCTACCTGATGTTTCCCAGGCTCTCTCCTGGCTTGCTTCCTCCCCGGTGCTCTGTGTTAGTTACCCGGTGGGCTTTGGTCGAAGGCCCGCACGCTACAGTCCCTCCACAGGCAGCCACGGTGCCGGAGGCAGCTGGGGCCAGTGCACAGGGCCAGGCCTGGCTCGGTACAAACTCATGTGTGCCTGGAGCCAGCTGATGCTTCTCTGGGCCTCAGGGACCTCATCTGTACAAAGGAGCCCGTGATGACCATCCCGACAGAGGCTCGCAGAGAGGTGGTGAGGGTAGCTGGGAAGGATGCATTTCTTTTCATTTATTTACTGGTTTGGGGTCACATTCACTCAGTACTGCTTGGGGGTTCTTCCTGACTCTGTGCTTGGGTCACTCCTGGTCACTTCTGGTGGTGCTCGGGGAACCTGTGGTGTCCAAGACCGAATCTGGCCTTCTTGGGGCCAGAAACATATTACGGCAAGTACTTAACGGCTCTTGTCTTGCATGTGGGTGACCCCGGCACCCCCTAGGGTTCCCCGATCACTGCCAGGACTGATCCCTGAGTGCAGAGTCAGGAGTAAGCCCTGAGCACTGTTGGATGTGACCCTCAAACAAACAACAACAAAAGAACCCCCTCCCCCCCCACACCACAAGCCTCCTGCTTGCAAAACCTGCACTTCGCCCACTGAGCTCTCCGGGGGCTGAGGGGATGAGTTTATATGTGGGGAGCATTTACATGGTACCGGGTAGAGAGTGAGATCGACTGATTATCAATTAGCCTAGCAGCCTGAACTGACTCGTGGATGTGAGGCTCTGTGTCAGACCCAAGGGACAAAAACTGGCTCCTGTTTCCTAGCATGGTCAGGAGGAGACAAAGAAACTGTGTCATCCCACCAATAGAAGCTAAGTGAGCAAGACTCGGTCTTAGCCTGGGAAGTCCAGGAGAGCTTCCTGGTGCAGGCAGCTGTTGCAATTCTTGAGAAATTATGAGTCTTTGGGCACTGGGCAGGACATGGAGGCACAGGGATGGGATCTAAGTGGGTGGGCCTTGAAAGCACTAGCTTAGGGCACCATGGAAGGGTCTTTTAGCCTGACCCCTTTACCCCCACCAAGGCCTGGCAAAGCAACTGAATGGACTCATGTCTAATACCTTCTGGGTCATTTCCCCTGAAGCCGTGTTCGCCTTCTCCATCTCAGACCCTGGCCCCTTTGCTCCTGCCCCTGGCATTGTCCCAGCAACCTGGTTCTCAGGCTGCTCTTCCCTCCCTCCCTCCTTCCCTCCTTCCTCCCTCCCTCCTTCCCTCCTCCCTCTCATCCTCCCTCTTTTCCTCTGTCTCCCTCCCTCCTTCCCTCCTCCCTCTCATCCTCTCCCTCCCTCCCTCCTTCCCTCCCTCCCTCTCTCCCTCCCTCCCTCCCTCCCTCCCTCCCTCCCTCCCTCCCTCTCTCTCCCTCCTTCCTTTCCTTCTCTACTCCCTTCCTCACTCCTTCCCTCCCTTCCTCCCTCTCTCCTTCCCTTCCTTCTTTCCTCTTTTCCTCTCCCTCCTCCCTCCCTCCTTCCCTCCCTGTCTTCCTGCCTTCTTTTTTTTTTTTAAATTTTGTTTGTTTGTTTTTTTTTTTTGGGACACACCCGGCAATGCACAGGGGTTACTCCTGGCTCATACACTCAGGAATTACTCCTGAGTAATTCTGGGGGTCTATATGGGATGCTGGGAATCGAACCAGGGTTGGCCGCTTGCAAGGCAAAGGCCCTACCCACTGTGCTATCACTCCAGCCCCAAATTTTTTATTTTATTAATTAATTTATTTATTTTTGGTTTTTGGGACACATCCGGCGATGCTCAGGGGTTATTCCTGGCTCTGCACTCAGAAATTACTCCTGGCAGTGCTCTGAGGACCATATGGAATGCTAGGTATCGAACCCAGGTTGGCTGCGTGCAAGGCTAATGCCCTACCCGCTGTGCTATTGCTCCAGGTCCCCAATTTTTAATTTTATAAGGTACTTCACAATATTTGATTATATTTAATATTCCAACACTATTCCCACCACCATTACACCTTCTCACCACCATATTTGAGATGTTTCCATGCCAAGCCCCAAGCCCTGTCCCAAAGCACAACTGAAATGATATATTTTGTGTCATTTGTTATGAAAAACTGCTGAAAATGCTAACCAAAAAGTACCCGTTGAGGAAACAATGTGAAATCTGTTCTATTTTGGCAGGGGCCATTAATATCTTCTTTAGGATATCAGTAACATGTTGTTAAAGGTTAAGTGATATGAAATTTCATATATACATCTGAAAATATGTATATATGCATATATCACTTAATCACTTAACTTCCCGTTAGTCATTGATTTGCTCGAGCGGGCGCCAGTAACGTCTCCATTTGTCCCCGTCGCGTGCTAGTGTAGCCCAATGGCATCTGTTCGCTCCAGGAACATGAAGGGCCTCAAACCGATCGTTCATGATCTTGACGAAGAAGTCTGACCATCTGGTAGGTGGGCGGCCACACGGTCTTTTGACATCCCGTGGAATCCAGTCAGTAACAGCTCTAGTCCAGTGGTCGTCTTTAAATCTCATTACGTGACCAGCCCATCTGATTTTCGACACCTTGGCAAATGAGACAGCATCCCTGATTCTTGATCGTCGACGGATGTCAGAACTCCGGATTTTTTCTCTCATTTGAGTGAAACGTGATATTCCAAGCATAGCTCTTTCTATTCTTCTTTGGGAGACCTGAATATATGCATATATATATTTCCCTTATGATTGGTTGCCTACTATTTGAACACCATCAAATATGGTGTGGTACTTTAGGAGAATGGATAGGGAGTGTCTTATGATGTGTTGCGCAGCCACAAATGCCACCATGTGGCCCAGGAATATGTCCACTTGTGCGTGAGGCTTGGTCCGAGCGTGTGGGGAGCGACATTGAGTGTGGCGGCGGCTGGATTGTGGAGGTTTTTGACTGTCAGTGCTGGGTCCCTTGGGGCGGGGACGGCCCTCATCCACTCCCCTCTGGGCCTTCCTTCCTTCCTTCCTTCCTTCCTTCCTTCCTTCCTTCCTTCCTTTTTAGGGAGGAGGCTAGGGCTAAACTTAGCAGTGCTCAGTGTTCACTCCTGGCTCTGCGCTCAGAGGTCACCTGTAGTGGTGCTTGAGACTCATGGACACTGTTAGTGGGATTCGTGGCTCTTGCTTCATTGTGGGGTCACATCTGGGACCAAGCATCTGGCTCCTGACAAAGTTGTGTCATAACCTCTTCAGAGCCAAAAGGAAAATCACCTTACTCCCATCTCTCTTTTGTGTTCAGAGCATCAGAGCTTCAGTGGGCGGGGTGGGGGGTGTCCAAGGCATCACTTGTGCATTTCATTCCATTGTGAGACTTCTTGTTACTGTGTTTGGCATATTGAATACTCTCGGTAGCTTGCCAGGCTCTCCGAGATGGGCAGAGGAATCGAACCCGGCTTGGCCGGCTGGCGGCTGCGTGCAAGGCAAATGTCCTGCCGCTGTGCTATCACGCCAGCCCATCTCTGCATTTCATTCCAGCACAGGAAAGATGCCTTTGAGATGTTTCTTACCCAGGGGTATGCTGGGTCTGAAATGTGAGGACCACTGACACAGGCTGGTGGAGACTATAAGTGCATGAGGAAACCTGGGGTGCTGGAGCTGACCCAAGTGCCATGCTCAGCATGGAGACTTTGGGGGAGACCCCCAGTTTCCTTCTGAGTGGAGGCAGAGCCTCAAGCACTGGGCAGACAGCATGGACAGCACTGGCCCCTGGAATGTCCTGAGTTCAGACGCTGGGGGAGGGGCGAATGTCTCCTCCCGGGGCCAGTGGTGGGCACTCCGGACTGCCACTGCCCTAACTCTGCAGGCACCTGTGTCCCGGGGGACTGAACACTGACTTTTCTGCCTGTAGACACTGACAGCAGGGTTGATGGGGTCCAGGTCCTTCCCGCATTTAGCTCAGGTGACCAGTGTCCACCAGCTTTCCAAAGGGCTAGCTGGCCCTCCCACCGTGAGGTATGAGAGTCCTGGTTCATCCTGGTGGTTCGCCTACACTTGCCACTTGTTCTTCTTCCGTTCTGTCTCCTCTGGTGGGTGTGAGTGGTGTGAGCCTAAACTCCGGAGTATAGCAGGATGGAGAGGTGAAGCTGGTTACTCGGCTGTTGTCTAGCAATGACCACCCAGGACCACCTGCGAGGCCCCTCTCCACCTTCCTGGACACCATGTCCAGCAAAGGGAGCCAGGCGGGAGCAGAAGCTCAGGCTGAGGGGGTCCTGTAAGATTCGGAAACGGGCCCAGCCAGTGCCCGGGGGTTAGCAGTCAGGTGGATGGCCAGGAGTGGAAGCACCTCAGTGTGTGTGTGTGTGTGTGTGTGTGTGTGTGTGTGTGGTGGAGGGGGCATCTTTGTTGGGACAGATGCTGGGCTGTGTTCACTCTGTAGACATTTCTGGGCCAAATCTTCTGGGCAATGTGCTGGTAGGCAAGGAAGGCTTCGACACCGAGTGCGGAGAACCCCCGCAAATGTCCAAACGTGGGTTTGAAGGAAGGTTCTGGGTCCCTCAACGAGCAATTTCTCCTGCACACCCTGGGAACAGACACGACCTGGTGGCTGCCTCTGACCCTTGGAGCAGGGCATGACACATATCATGTCAACGATGCAAAGTGACACTTCAGGGTCTGAGGAAGGAGACACAAGCCTTCTAGTGGGGTCCTTCTGCTTGTGTTCTTGAACCCTCTCATTCGGCTGGGGGGTCCCAGGCCGAGGCATCTGATGGGAGGTGAGCTGGGGGCTGCAGTACTGTCCCAGAGGCCTCCTCCACGCTGACGAGGCTCTCTCTGAGCAGCGCTTCCCGGCCTGGAGCAGAAGAAGAGAAGCAGCCACAGAATCTGCTGCCGGCTGACGCCCCCGCCGCCCCCCTTGTTCCCACCGCCGCCGTTCTTCAGAGGGGGCCGCAATCTGGTGAGTTGGAGGGGGTCATGAGAGGATGGACATAGGACTCCTCGGGGCCCACCCCAGGGTCCCACCCCAGCTCCCCTGTCCTGCCAAGGTTTTCTCTGCCAGAATCTTCTCGGAGGGAATCTGCCATTGACTCTCAGGCCACAGGCTGGAGGCTGGACTATGGACATTTTGCGGCTTCCTTCCTTCCATGGTCTGAGCATGGTTGGTGGCTCAGAGGGAGGGTGCAACTCGTGAGGCCCTGGGTTTGACCCCTGGGGCTGCAGGCAGAAGTGAAGACGCACGTAAATAACGCACATTCTACTCTGCTGACGTAGGAAAGTCTTAGGGAGAAAGACTGTCTCAGGCATTTATATCCCTGGTGCCTGTCGACATGATCCAGTTTGAGGCGGCCTCTGCATTGTGGCAGCGTGGCCTGTGTGGGCGACCGGCCTTTGTCTGGTCTCTGAGGGACAGTCCTGCTCGGGACGTCAGGCCCAGGACCCCCAAGCGGTCATGACATCTGTCATGTGCTCAAGTCAGGTGCAGCCCCAGAGCAGAGGTGAGGTCAGAAACTGGCGGCCTTTGTGGGGTGCCCGCGGAGTGTTGGGGGCCCTCCTGTCACAGAGTAGATTGGTCCGGAGCCAGGGGGGCGTCTAACCCTCCTCTGTCCCCCAAGTCTGACCTGTGACTTGCTTCAATTCGCTTTGGAGCTTCTCTCCTCAGACCTGAAGAATCTCATCCTGGAGCTTGAGTCCACGCAGACCCCATGCGCACGTGGATCGCTGAGCTCGCCCGGGCCCCCGGGCCCCCAGGTGGGTGCTCTGCACCAAGCCCCCTCCACTGCCTCCTCTGGTGGGCAGGGAAGCCCTTTTCTGCAGGATCAGAGATTTCCTCCCTGGCGAACTCCCCTCCTCTTCTCACGCTCCTGCCTTCACTTCCTCCTAGTGTGTGTGTGTGGGGGGGGGGATTTGTCGGGGCTAATCACGACCCTTTTGGTCTGATCTGAGGGGAGGGGGTGACTGGCATGAGGTGCTGTAGCGGTTATTATAACTATCAGATATAATAATCGACCCGGGTTCAATTCCCAGAATTCCATATGGTCCCCCGAGCACCGCCAGGAGTAACGGACTTGGTGACGGCCAGTTGCCCCTTAGGTGACCTCTGACCTCACCCAGGGGAGCTTGTATTTCGGGTAGGAAAGTAGATGCAGAGCAGAGCTTGTTGAGCTCATGTAGACTCAGGGCCCAGCTACCATGTGGTCCCCCTGGCCTGCCAAAGCTCAAGTCTTAGGCCTGAGAAAGGATTTTCTACACCATCCCGAGTCCCCCAGATCCACCGCTCCCTTCGGGGAGAACTCCATGGGTCTGGTCTTCTGGACCTGCCATGGGGAGGAAAGGACACCTCGAAGCCCAGAAGTTTCCCCTAATGCTATAGGAGTGGTGTGTCCCCTCCTGGTCACCTGTGGTAGCTGCCAATCATGGGCAAATTGAAAGACAAAGGCACCCCATCTTATGCTTAACAGTATCTTAGCTGGCTCACCCAGCTGGCCCACTCTCCTCAGCCCCGATATTGGTGCCCTCAGCTTCTTCCAGCCCCAACTCCCCCCTCCCAGAACTCCTCCACCAGAGGTCCTGCTCTCCGGCTCTCCCCAAGGCCCCTCTCTGTCCCTCAGAATGTCATCTGCTGCCCCCTTAGCAAAGCCTTCCTCACCTCACCATGTCATCGCCCCAGTGGCCACTTCAGTCCTCTGAGGGATTTCCCCTTCTGCTCATGTTGCCTCATCAGTGCTGTTGCTGCTTTCTCTGTTGTTTTTTTTTGTTGTTCTTTTTTTTTTTCTTTTTGGGTCACACCCAGAGATGCACAGGGGTTACTCCTGGCTCATGCACTTAGGAATTTACTCCTGGCGGTGCTCGGGGGACCAAATAGAATTCTGGGAATCAAACCCGGGTCGGCCGTGGCAAGGCAAACACCCTACCTGCTGTGCTCCAGCCCTGCTGCTCTCTCTTTTCCTCCCCCCTGCCTTCATGCTTCGGGATAGGGCTTGGCCAACTGTGGGCCCATCTCTGACAGACCCCAGGGTTTCTTTGGCAATGAAGAAATAGGGATTTGCAGGAGGCCAGAGCTTGTTCTCCGTGTTTTACTGTGCAGAAGCAGGGGCTGGTGAAAGGTGAGGGCTTGAACCTGAGCCCAGGGTAGGCAGCTCAGGACAGAGTCACAGCCTGATGGAGGGGGGTAGGCTCATTCATGGGGTTCAGAGGTATCTGTTGAGACCCCCAGTGCTCTGAGAACTGAGCGGGGCACCTGGCGGGACTTTGCAGCACTTGGTTCCAGATGAAGTTGGTGGGAGACATGGGGACCCAGGGGGACAGTAGCCTCCACACAGAATGCACTAACCACCTCCTACTTGGCCTGGCTCTCCTCCCCAGGGAAGTTCCTGGAGACAGAGGACAGGCAATGTCCAGCATGAGCATGAGCATGGGTGTGGACACCAGGGTTCCCCCAGCCCCACCAGGCAGCTGTTACTGCAACCGAGACCCACTAGATTCCCACAACCTGGAAATTGGTTCCCGCCTCCTGAGTTCTTGGGGAGCTGAGACCCCAGGCAGGAGTGAGGGATCCCTCTTGGCAGTGATTTTAAAAATCACTCCTGACCTCCACCTGGATGCTCCAGGCTCTACCCTTGAGAGAGGAATTTCAGAAGGAGATGAAAGTGAATAACATAGCTTGATTGAGAAAATAAGAAGGGAGAGAGAGACAGAGACAGACAGACAGATAGACACACACACACACACACACACAGAGAGAGAGAGAGAGAGAGAGAGAGGAGAGAGAGAGAGAGAGAGAGAACACAGACTTCTTCAGAGGGGAGAGAGCCCCAAGAAGGAAAACAAAATCTCACACCCCAAGTTGAAATGTCAACGGCCCCAGAGTGGAAACATCCCCTTCTTCTTGCTTTTGCAAGTCGTTATGGAGTTTCTCCCAAACTGTCCCAAAGGGACTTTCTATGTGGTAAGAGTCTGTTGTTAGGCTGTTGTCAAAGGGAGAGACAGAACTTTGGGGGGAGAGTTTTCTTTAACATTTGAGGGCCTTTTATTCCAGCTGAAGTTTCTCCTCCTCTGGGCTAGCACTGGTGTCATTTGCAGTTTTATCACACCCCAATTCCAGCATCTCCAAAAAGGGACCCAGCCTTCATGCTTTGGGGCTGGTGATAGGGGAACTTCAATAGTTCTTGTCTTGGCTTTGTAAGAATTTTATTTTTTGCATTCTGGGTCATACCCTGTGATGTTTGGGGGATTACTCCTGGCTCTGCACTCAGGAATTACTCTTGGCTGTGCTTGGAGGACCATATGGGATGCTGGGGATTGAATCGGGGTCAGCCGCATGCAAGGCAAATGCCCTACCCGCTGTGCTATCGCTCCAGCCACTCTTCGCATTTTTTAAAAGAGGATCTCTGTGGCCCACCATGGAACCATGGAACTCCCACTGGGCTTCCACCGCATCCCTTCCCTTCTGGCAAATGGCCTTACCTCCAGACCCACCAACTGCTCCCCCAGAACATGCGTGTGTGGGAGGGATGAGTATCGGGGAGTCCCCGTGTACCAGCAGGACAGCCTCCCTCCAGAATGCTCAGAGAGAGCCAGAAAAGAAGGGAATGGAGGGGAATTGGGGGCTGGCGGGTGGCGAGAGTCCCGGGCGGTGTCCCTAGGCCCTGAATCTCAGCAAGACCAGAGAGCTCAGGGATGCAAGAGGCCCCCAGCACACAGCCCCCAGCCCCCCTGCAGCCCTGTCTCGGTTTTAACTGTGCCTGCTCTCTGCTTCTTATCGTGACTCTGCAGGGTCCACCGGGCCTACCTGGCAAGACAGGACCCAAAGGAGAAAAGGTAGGAGGCCCCACTTTCTCCAATCGCGCCTTCCTTCGGGGGGGACTTTCTGCCTATGTCCTGGGCAGGGTGCTGGGGAGTTCCCTGGCCCCCGGATGGGGGGAACCCGGGTTTTCCCACTGCTCCCGCTGCAGGGCTGGGAGGTCCAGCAGCTCTGTCTGGAAGGCGTGGGGGAGTCTCCGGCCTCGCCAGCCCCAGGCTGCTGCCCACTCGCTGCCCCCCACTCAGCCCTCTGCTTCCAGAACGTCTGTTCCTGAGCAGCCTCCGCTGACCTGTCTTCTCCACCCACAGGGGGAGCTCGGCCGGCCTGGGAGGAAGGTAGGGTGCTCGTGCCTCCGGTACACACACACACACACACACACACACACACACACACACGGCAGGCTGGGCAAGGGGACATGAGGGTGCAGGGCGGGGGAGTTGCCATCTGCAGAGACCAGCAGGGGGCCGCTCTTGCTGCTGACTTAAACACCCCCAACCTCAAACCTTCCCTCCCTGACACCTCTCAGAGATCCAAACTCTCCTCCGCCCCAAATGTGTGGATTAAACAGCATGCAGGGCCCGAGCGGGCAAAAACCAAAACGTTTTGGCTTTGAGGCCCTGCATAAGTCAGGGGGCATTTCTATAAGGTCACAGGCACCCAGAGTGACCCCAAGACAGGAATCCAGGCTCCCCCAGAAGCCAGGGAGAGCCACTTGCTGCGGTTTCTGGGAAGTAGCCCTGAACTTCTAGCGCTCAGGGAGAGAAGGAAGTGCCCAACGTTGGCCAAGAAAAAGGTTTATGGTAATCAACAGAAATGGACATTTTTTTTTCCTGACTCAATGTTTTTGTCATCAGTCGCTCTCAATCAGAGGCTCAAACCAACCCTGGTGAAGTGAATGTCCAAAGCGTTGGGGACAGGTGACACCTGGAAAGGAATCCAGGATGTTTCCTGGGCTGTGGGCTAACTGGGGCCAGGGTGGATCATGGTGTCTGCCTGGCATATGGGTGCCGAGCCTGGCAACCCGATGCACAGACCAGTCTAGGGCTGGGTGGCGCCTGCCCCATCTCCAGCTGGCCCAGCAGGTCAGTGCCTGTGGAGGTCAAGCTGGATGCTAAGTTCCTCTTGCTCTTGTAGTATTTGCCTTTCCAGGGCTCCCGGCTGGGGTTAGACAGGAAGCAGAGACAGACAAGTGAATGAATGAAGGGCACAGTCTCTAGAAAAATTGAATGAACAGAGTAGTATTTGGATGCTGTGGGGTCTGGAGAAGAAGCCCAGTGTGGTCATAGGGCCCAGGGGACCAGCCAGCCTCTCCCTCAAGCCCCAGGGAGCTGTGAGCATCATGGGACCCGTCCCGGGGATGAGGGAGTCAGGCAGTTGGCTAAGGGAAGGGGAGGCACACAGAGTGCGTGACCTGTGGACAGGGGACAGGAATGAGTGCCACCCCAGGAAGGTCCCACAGGGCAGGGGGACATGCTGAACAAAGATCTGGAGGGTGCACCATCTGCTCCTGCTCCCCAAACCTCCTCCTATCCCACTCCACATCACCCCCTTGGGAAGAACCTACTGGAACACAGGAGACATTTGGGTGGGTGGGGGTGATAAAGATATAACCGAAATCCAAATCAGACAAGCCCTTCCTCACAACATCAGAGTCTCTTGGCTAATGAACATGTGTACGTGGACACCCCTAAGTAATAGACAGTGGCTCCCCAGGAGTTCACTTACCGCCCCCTCACCCCACACAGCCCAACTTTCTTCCTAGGTTCTTTCTTAGTTCAGGGGAAGGAAAAGGATACGGATCTGAGAGCTCCCAGAGAGATCCCTGGCATCTCTCTGGGCCCCAGAGAGAAGTCTTATATCTTCAAGGAGTGGACCAACCAGTTGTATTGACTTCTATTCTTCCCTTTTGAAGGGGAGACCTGGCCCCCCGGGTGTTCCTGGTGCGCGTGGGCCTGTGGGAGGACCTGGCCCTGAAGGACCCAGGGTAAGTGTGGCCTGTGCTTGTGGCTCATGTTGGGGCAGGAGGAACCTAGAGAAATGTATTTCCTCAGGTCAGGGAGGAAGACACGTACAAGATGGCCCAGAGGGGCCCCCAGAGAATCCTCCCCCTTAGTAATGGGGGCTACTCCCCTCCTTTGCTCTGCAAGTGACCATGTTATATCAGGGTACTGAGGGGACTTGTAATGTGGAAGCTGTTGGCCTATAGTGCATCAGGCAGGGGGGAAGGAAAGAGGGGTGGGTGTGGGCAGGGTGGAATGATTGAAATCCTGTGTCCAGGATTCACCTCTGAACCCCCTTTTTAAATCCGGTGATGGGAAGCTAGCCCATTCACCCCTAGCTTTGCTGGCCAGACATAGCAATGTCTGGGATCGTGACTGGGAAATTAGACTTAGAAACTGAACACATGGACGGCAGGACAAGGCAGGTGAAGTTACTGAGACAATTTTTTTTTCTTTTTGGGTCACACCCGGCAATGCACAGGGGTTACTCCTGGCTCTGCACTCAGGAATTACCCCTGGCGGTGCTCAGGGGACCATATGGGATTCTGGGAATCGAACCCAGGTCGGACGCGTGCAAGGCAAACGCCCTACCCGCTGTGCTATTGCTCCAGCTCCTACTGAGAGAATTTAAAAAAGTATTATTGTTGTTATTATTTCATTTATTTATTTGGGTGCTCAGGAGTCTTCGGGGCTGCACCAGGTGGTTATGTAATACTGGAGATTGTTTTTGGTTTTTTTTTTTGCCTTTTGGGTCACACTTGGTGATGCTCAGGGATTAAGTCCTGGCTCTGCACTCAGGATTTACTCCTGGATGTGCTCAGGGGACCATATGGAATGCTGGGGATCAAACCCAGCACATGCCACATCCAAGGCAAACGTCCTACCTGCTGTACTATTACTCCAGCCCCAGTGCTGGGGATTGAACAAGGTCAGCGGTTGGAGGCCGGAGCCATAGTTCAGCACAGGGTGGTCATTTTCCTTCCACAGGGCCGATCTGAATTTGATTCCTGGCAGTCCCTATGGTCCCCTGAGCACAGCCAGGAGTGATTCCTGAGTGCAGAGCCAGGAATAACCCTGAGCATCGCTGGGTGTGACCTCCGCCCCCAAAAGCCAAAATAAAATAAAATAAAATAAAGAACCAGGTTGGTTGCATGCACCAACATGTGCCCAGCCGTTCCCTTTTGAAAGCTGCTGGCAGGTGCTGAGCTGCCCACAGTCGCACTTGCCAGATGTGGCTGTTAGGCCACAGAAGTGGAGCTGGGATCACTGAGGAACGGGATTTACACTTTTAACTAACTCCTAAGCTCGAATTAAGAACAAGCAAACTTTAATTGAGCTATCAGAACATATCTATGCATGTTTGAACAACTTTGTCTGAATCTAATTTTTAAAGTGACACATTTTATGGGCTGGAGTGATAGTATAGAGGATAGGGCACTTGCCTTGCACGTGGTCCACCTGGGTTCGATCCCCAGCATCCTGTATGGTCCCCTGAGCAATGCCAGGAGTAATTCTTGAGTGCAGAGCCAGGAGTAACCCCTGAGTTCCTCTTGCCTGGGAAGCAGCTCTGCAGCCATGTGACTCTCAGTCCTGATGGGGCCTTAGGTGAAGATGGTGCATCACTAGCTGTGGCCCCAAACAAGAAAGATACATTTTAATGAAATCTCAATATAGATCAAATATTTGGGATAAACACTTAACACTTGAATGCAGACAAAATCTAAATGCAAAAGCCACAATTTCCAGATACTTATCGTGCAAAAGATAGTATTAATCATTTTATATTGGTTGTGTGTCAACATATATTAGATGACATTAATTAGATGTGATAAAATGAGCCATGAAGATAAAATTCACCTGTTTCATTTTATTTTTAATGGGACTGCTAAAGAAATGGAAAGTTAAGCACATGCCTGGCTTTCATAGTTTTGGTTTGCTTTTGGTTCTTTTGAGTCACATACAGCTGTGCTCACAGTTTGTTCCTGGTTCTGTGCTCAGGGGTCACTCCTGGTGAGACTCCAGGGGGACCATATGGGGTGCCAGGGATCAAATCCATGTTGACTTCATGCAAGGCAAGACCCTACCCACTTTACTATCTCTCTGGGCCCTTGAATTTTATTTAAGTACCCAGAAAGCTGGGAGTTCCCAGAGCAAATCATTGCGAGGGGAGGCATTGCCCACCCATCTTCACCTCTCCCTGAGGTCCCATCAGGAACTGATAGTCACATGACTGCAGAACTGCTTCCCAGGAGGAAGTGTCTGGAGGTGTCTGAAGCGCCCGTCCCCCCCCTCCCCCCCCCCCACACCAGGCAAGGCTGATGAAGTTCTCTGGGGTGCCCGGTTCTCTCCTCCATGTCTTATAGCCTTCTCTGGGACACAGACAAGCACCTGTCCCTTCTCTGTGTCAAGTCCTTGTTTCATTTGAAGACCTGTTTGCCTCAAACAATTTCATTTCATATTTAATCCCAACCGCGGGGGTTAAGTGTAGATGTGGTGCTTGGTCGCCTGGGAATCAGCAAAGAGAGTTTGGAGGCCCCGGAGTCATCAGCGCGCCCTGCCCTGACTTTGTTTCTCCGGGAAATGTCACAATGGGTCTCTCTGTGCTTCGGATTCCCTCCAGGGTGAAAAGGGTGACCCGGGCAGGATGGGCTTGCCAGGCTCCCGAGGACCAGCGGGCTCCAAGGTCAGTGCTGGGGCCAGTCAGTGCCCAGTTCCTGCTCAGGGTCTGGAGTAGGGGCAGGGACAAGGGGGGCAAGAGGGGCTGCTGTCCTGGGCTGGGTGATGGCACAGACGTTGGAACAACGGGTCTGGGGGCGCGTGCTGCAGTCTGGGAGGGGGCCTTGGGACACCACAGATGCTGTTCTCCTGGGCAGTCTGGATAAGCGAAGCATGTGGAAATCCTTGCTCCTGTCTTCAAACAGTGCATGTGTGTGCGTGTGTGTGTTGTCTGTGTGTCTGTGTCTCTCTCTGTGTCTGTATGTCTCCATGTCTCTGCGTGTCTCTGTCTTTGTGTGTCTCTGTGGACATCTGTAGGTGTCTGTGTGTGTCTGTGTGTAGGTCTTAGGCATCTGTGTGTGGGTAGAAAAAAACCAAAGCTCCTTTCAGGCCCGCCATGTAAACCCAGCCCTCAGGGATGCCTTCACATGTACAGCCACACCTTCACTAAGGTGTGTGATGCCATCTGGACCCCCATTAGGGGATCCTTCCATGCAGGCAGCATGCCCAGAGGCCTGGTGGCACCCACTCTAAATGCACCTTCTGCTTTATTTCAGGGCTACCCTGGATCCAGAGGGGAAAAGGTTTGTGCTTGTCTTCCTGCTGGCCAGGTTCTGATGCGGGGAGGCAGCTATCAGCATTGGGGTGACCATTCTGAGCTAGCCCTGGCCTTTCTGTGGTCAGAGAGAGTGGCAAGGTGTCTCCAGTGGCAGGGCCAGTGGGTAGGGAGGGCAATCCTCATGTGCAGTGGCTGAGCCAGTGTTAGGGAGAGCCCCACCTCTCTGGGGGTGCCGCAGTCATGGAATTCTCCTGACATTACCCCCAGTTCCACGTGACATAGCCTTCTGGGTCCCCCAGAAGAAGACAAGACAGGAGGTCCCTAGCCAGACCTGGGCATCCAGTTCCTAGAGGCAGGGAGAGGATCCATCCCAGAATGCCCTGCGAGTAGCCCAAAATCGATGCCAGAAGTCTTTGGGCTCTAGACAGAGGGGCACCCCCAAATCCTCTGTTTCTTTGCCTGTCCGTGAGGGTGCTGCTTTAGGAGTTAGGCTCCGGTTTCAAAGACCCCTATTTCTCCCTGGGCCTTCACTCACTGACTCTTCCCTGTGTTTTCCTTCCAGGGATCCAGAGGTGAAAGGGGAGACCCAGGTTCCAAAGGAGAAAAGGTAATGGGCCACATGTCAGGTCATGACCAATAAGAAACTCTGGCCCGGTGTCCAGGTGTTTCATTTCTGGAGAGCAATTGGGTAGTCGATGCACTTTCCTAAATATTCACATATGAAGAGGAGGCCAAATCTTTGGCAATAAGAAAGGCCAAGAATGGGGCCAGAAAGATAGTACAGGGATTAAGGGCCTTGTGTGCAGCTGACCTGAGTTCAAATCCCTACACCACATATGATTTCCCTAGCACCACCAAGGGTCACTCCTGGGCACAATGCCAGGAGTAGTCCCTGAGACCCCCTCCTACAAAGCAAACACGAGCCTGGGGAAATATTATGGAGTGTGACAGGCAATTTTTTAAAAATTAAAAAAAAAAACAAGGGCTGGAGTGATAGCACAGTGGGTAGGGTGTTTGGCTTGCACGTGGCCAACCAGGGTTCGATTCCCAGCATCCCATATGGTCCCCCGAGCACTGCCAGGAGTAATTCCTGAGTGCAGAGCCATGAGTGGTCCCTGTGCATCACCAGTATGACCCAAAAAGCAATAAATAAATAAAAACCAAAGAAACAAAACAACAACAAAATACCCACAATGCTGCTTTCCTGAAAGTGTGGAAAGGCAAGACCGCACTGGAAGAGGGTGTCCGAGGTGGGGGTGGAGGGAGGGAGGCGAGTGCTGACTGTCCGCCAGGGCAGGTAGGGGATGTGGGTGACTACGGCCTTTTGGGGGCTGGCCCACAGCTCACTGGGCATGGGGGTCTCTTCACAGGGCTTCCCTGGAGCTCCCGGCATGCTGGGGCAGAAAGTAAGTACTGAGAGCAAGTGAGCAAGACCCCTGGAGCACAGAGCTCTGCCTTCCCAGGGAAGGTTCTGCACTACAAGAGGAGTGAGTGGCCCTCTGCGTGGTGAGCAGGTAGCACGAAGGTCGCCTCCATCCAGCTGAGCGCAATGTGTCTGTTTATGGTAATACGCAGCAGTGGGTGGCAGAGAGAGAGGACACGTGGGTTGGGTTCAGCATCACATGGATGTGTTGGGCAAGCCCCCTGCCCAGGCACATACGTGGGAATAAGTATCCCCCTAAGCACTGCTCTGCAGGTCTAGATCCCCTCCCTGCCCCCGGCAGGGGTGGACTCACATGCATCTTTGGCTTGATGCCCATACTCAGCTTCTCCTCCAGGGGCTCATGCATTACTGACTACAAAACTTGATTTAGCTAGGTGACAGCAAACACTCAATTATTTTGTGGGCTTTTTTTGGAGGGTAGGGGGCGTGTGATCACACCCAGTAGTCTAATTTAGAGTCTAATTCTCAGGTCTGGACCAGGGGATCACTCCTGGCATGATCTGCGGAACATATGTGGTGCTGGGGATTGAACCAGGGTTGGCTGCATGCAAGACCAGCACCTTAACTCCTGTACTATCTCTCCGGACCACATCTGTTAATTAACTTTTGTTTGGGGGCCACACCCAGCAGTGCTCAGGGGCCACACCTGGTTCTATGTTCAGGGACCACTCCTGACCATGCCTGGGGGACCATATGCAGTGTCCGGATATGATCTAGGGGTCCGGCAGCCACCTGCTAGAGAAGCACCTGGATGTTTATTCTAGCTCTCTGTCCCTCCATTTATCATTTGCCTAGTTTGATTTTTTAAATTTGGTTTGATAGAATTTTATGCTTATCTTGCTTAGGCTGCATAAGGAAGGAGCTAACTGTTAGGTTAGGAAAAAGTACTTTGTAAGCAATAGTAGTATGGCATGCAAATAAGACAATTGTTGGTGTGACAACTTATTTTGGGGAACTCTTCTTCAGAGTTAAGGCGTGGGGAAGAGTTGAGGAAGAGTCAGGGGTGGGATAGAGACGAACAAATCCTCTTCAAACTGGGTGAAGCTGGTTCCAGCCCCGGTATAATGTTAACATGAGCCATTGTTACTCTCTCCTTAGCTTCAGATTTTTTGGTGGGATTTTTCCCCTCTATTTGTTTTGTACCATACCTGGAAAATGCTCAGGGCTTTTTCCTGGGTCTTCATTCAGGGATCACTCCTATCAGGATTCAGGGAGCCATATAAGGTCCCAGGGATCAAACTTGGGTCAGCTACCTGCTAGGCAAGTGCCTTCCTTGCTGTGCTCTCAGATCCCTCTGAGTTCAGAGTCCAATGGTCTGCAAGCAGGCAAACCCTTTCTTAGAATTCTGATTTATTGTTCTCTCTCACTTTCACCTGAAAGCGTCAGAAAAACAATTTTTATCTGGGTTTCTTCAGTCAGTGAAAGGAGGTGATTTAAATAACTTCAGTCATCTGGCATTAATTTATTATAACTGGCCACTGCCTTCACTTGCAAAAACCTCTGTTTCTGCCAACTTAGATGTAATATTAGGTTAGAGGGAAAGAGCTTAATCATATAAATTATGAAAGGAAACACTGAAAGAGAAGAATTTATATTACTTATAAATATTTAGGCTAGCTTTCATTCAGTGCAAGGGAAGATCAAAGAATAATAAATTACTGAGAAATTAAGTGTGGCAGCTTCTTTGCTTCACTGGGTTTTGCCCTGAGCATTCTCTTGCCCTTGTATGGCAGGATGTTTTAAGGCAGGCCTGATATGATAACCATAATTAGGTCTTAGGAGAGAAATTAGATCAAGAAATTACTGGCTCCCTCCAGCTGATGAAGAGAAGGGCCACACTTCCTTCTGACAACCTTAAAAAAATGTTGTTTATGTTGCTGTCTGTTCTCAGCCAAACAGGACACTCCTTCTCACCCCCCCCCCCCCCCCACACACACACAAAGAGCCAAGAAAAATCGTGCCAATATTTCCACAGGCATGAAGAATTCCTCATATCTGTTCTCTTTTTCTTTAGAATTTTTTTTTCCTTTTTCTTTAGAATGTTGAAGGACTCAGCCGGTTGGGAAAAATCATAGGTTTAAAGACAACTGGTGGGGAGGTAAATTGTTGATGGCTTGGATAAGCACAAATTCCTTCCATTGGCTTAGCAGATAACTTCTGAGACTGATGCTTGATCCTGAACATTCATTGGAATTTTCCATGATATTATACCTTCTCTGACTGTGGAAAAACCCACCGGGTGTTTCTTGTTCTCTCCAATCTGGTGGGCAGACCCTACCCACCCATGGAAACCCTCCTGGTTGCTTTTGCTAATCTAGTAGCAATCTATAAGCAAAGCTTTTGCTTGTCTAGGTGGTGTGTTTTGAGCACCATAAGGAGGACTGATGGTGCAAACCACGCCCTGCAGTTTTGTGATCCGAAGAAATAGCACAAGGGGCTGAAGAGAGCTCAAGGGACTGCCCCAAGCACTGCAGGGAGCAGTCATTGAGCAACAAGCCAGGAGTATCCCCAGAACATGGCTGAATGTGCCCCCCAAACCAAGAAAAGAAAGCAAAAAAGAAAAGAAGTAGCATGTGGTTCAGAATCCTGAACCCACAGGAGACAAATCTAACCAAGAAATGGGTTTTAACTGAAGGTTGGTCTTATGCCACGGGATTCTGCATTTGGTTCTAGCAGTTCAAAGTAGGGCTTCTCAGCCAGGAATGAACTGCTTTGCCTTCCAGGTCTCTTACCATAATTAAATTGAGAAATGTTTGAACATCTCTCTGGAACTTCTCTACCCAGAGGGTTCTTAATATCACTGAACTGGAGTGAAATAGAGAGCGCTCAAACTGGGTTTTACTGAAGAGGGGGGAAGGAATAAGTCACGTCAAGTTAGGGTTCTGAATTAAATGAGCAGAAATGGTCTAATGATGACAGTTATCAAAATGACAGATGACTAAATCAAGTTGACAGTCCTTCAGAAACCTATAGATTTGAATTTGGATGCAAAGCAGAGCCTGGGGGCGGGGACAGCACAGTGGTGAAAGCACAGGCCTAGGAGTCACCTACCCTGGGTCCAAGTCCTGGAATCATATGGTCCCCTGAGCACCACGGGGAGAGATGCCAGAGGTCTCTAAGTATCACTGGGTATGGTCCTGGAGGTCTCCAGCACTGCCAGGGTGGCCCAAACACCACCAGCATTGCAACAGGTGAGCATCACTGCATCCCTTGCACCAAACCAGGACCCAGGCAGCCAAGAATCACTGGAGGGACCCCTGGACCTTCTTGGGAGGACTGATTGGGAGGCTCTCCTCCTCCAAAAAGAAACAAAACAAACAAACAAAAAGAGCAAAGCACATGATAAGATTTTAACTGAAAGAGAAAGTGTTCTCCCCACTTCCCCCCCATAGTTTTGTCATTCAAGGCACACAGTCTCCGAAATAGGCAAACTCCTCAACTTTGACCATTCTACAGGGCAATTTGGGACACCAAAATATGTCTCCCCATATATACCCACCCCAGGTAGCCCTCCACTTTCTTCCTCTCCTCTGACAAATCTGACTTCTTTCCCATGACCCATAACCTTCATCTCCTAGAGCAGCTGCTCGGGAGAGATTCTGAATGACCAAGTGCATTATCCCATGGCCAGTGATGGTCTTCCCTCTGCTTCGCAGGCCCTAATTCCCCTCTCAATTCACTTCTTTCCAGGGGGAAATGGGCCCAAAGGGGGAGCCTGGGATAGCAGGACACCGGGGGCCCACAGGAAGACCAGGAAAACGAGGCAAGCAGGTAAGCATCCCCAGGATTCCTGTAGGCCTGGGTGGGGGGTGGAGAGTGGGCAGTCAGGAGCGTCCCTAAGGCAGGGTCCAGAGTGAAGGGGGAAGAAGCACACCCCTCTGAGAGCTCCTGAATTCTCTCAGTGAAAATTTTGAGGTGGGGCTGGAGCGATAGCAACAGTGAGTAGGGTTGCATGCGACCAAACTGGGTTCAATCCCCAGCATCCCATATGGTCCCCCTGAGTCCTTCCAGGTGTGATCCCTGACCACAGAGGCCAGAAGCAAGCCCTGAGAACTGCCAAGAATATAAAAATTTAAAAAAGGCTTTGAGGCAGGCTTAGAGGATGCACTTCTGGTTCCTCCAAGGCCAGAAGTGAGAGTAGCTGGTGGGTTTGTGAGGACAGGTCTGTCCTAAGCAGAGTAATGAGGAGTGGAAACAGATTCTTCTGATTCATGCAGAAATCCCCCCTTTGTCTCCATGCTTCAGACTCAAAGGAGTTTTAGAAAACAGCACAGCTCCTCCCTGCTGACCCAGGATCTTCCGTGTCTCACTGGGCCCCTCAACCCCCCTTGCAGGCCTCCAATTTGTAAGCGACCCTTCACGACACTATTAAGGGCCGAGGGCAATGGTTCTTTCTAGCTCCCCTGAACCACAGGCTGGTGTGTTCAGAGCAGGGGCCACGAGAGGGGAAGGAAGGAGGGAGGGATGGTAGCCTTGGCTGGCTTCAGAACTCTCCCAAGCACCATCTTTCTTGTCCTGCACAGGAATTTCTGAAGGCTCTGCTCTTTTAAAATTTTTTAACTTGGGGGTGTCTGTTGGCTTTTTTTACTCCTATCCCATTAGAAATAGACAATTCTCACAGAAACCTAGGAAATTATAAAAAATAGAAGTGAAAGCATCATCTGAAGAGACCACACCCAGCTATCAACATGTTGCCATTTTTCTATCTTTTGTGAACTTTCTAGTTGTTTGTTTCATTCATATCCAAGATACAGTCATTGTGTTGTCAACTAACTTAAACTTAGACATGCACATTTTTGCTTATTATTGTAAATATTCATGAAGCATGTAAATATTCATGAAGCCCTATATTTTAATGAGCAGATTTTTTGGGACAAAAGCAGCTCATAAAATGATATATAACTCTTGAGAGGTGAAATTATTTGGGCACAAAGGTTTTTTTTCCTGTTTTCCTATTTCATGGTTAGGCTAGATTGATGGTTTCCAGCTGCCTGTCAATCACCTGAGTGTGAGTGATCTTATTCTCTGTTCCAAGTAAATGGCTTAAGTCCATCTCTCAGTATTTCATTGCCTAGGTTTCTAAACTAGGTTTAGAAACAGAAGGCAAAAAGGGGGAAAACTTTATAAAACAAAAATGATCCTACCCTACAAGAACTGTTGGCTTCTGTTCTACTTCTTTTCTTGCACAGTATCTGTACTTTTCCTGGTCAAGACAACAGCAAAGATTGCTGCTTCCTGGTTCTGCTGGGAATGATATACTTTTGCCATCATCTTAAAAACAACCCCAAAATCCTACCTGTGACTTTAAGAAAGTTTTGGAAATAAGTTCAATTCTTTCTATAAGACATTGTAAACTAGTTGAGTGTGCTCCCACCTCCGCACCACCCCCATCACAGTGCATTTCTTATCAGCAAATACTTCAGTACTTCAGCTTTGAGCCTTGGGTAATGGGTTGGGTTGAGGCATATGTATCAATACATGAGGTGCATATATGGCATTGTATTTGTGCCATGCCTACAACCTAATGATTCAACACTGTCTTTATTGTGGAATGTTCATAATAAATCTAGTTATTACACAAACATTCTTTTCTTGTGGTGAGAATTAAATTTTTTTAATTTTTTTTAATTTTGGGGGCCACACCTGGCAATGCTTATTCCTGGATCTGTGCTCAGGTATTACATCTTGTGAGGCTCAGGGAGCCATAGAGGGTGCCTAAGATTGAACCTGAGTCAGTCATATACAAGGCAAGAACCCTACTTGCTGTACTATCTCTCCAGTCTCATGATGAGAACTTTGAAGATCCAGTATCTTAGAAAACTTTATACCTCTGCTACAACATTAACTACAATCACAATGCTAGACATTCTAAACCTAGGACTTAATCTATTTTATAACGGATTGCACCTCTTGATTCCCTTTCATTCATTTTGTTGTTCCTCCCATGCCACCCTATTATACCTCGTGGTCCTTTCTTTTCATCGTGAATTGATATCCTAGTGGACAGTCTTATACACCTAGCATTTGTGGAAGTGGGTTGTGCTAGGAGTTTCTGGGAGTTATTTTAAGTCAATCCCAGTCCTGTAATTAGAAAGAAATTCAGAAGGGACTTCAGGAGATTAGAATTTCAGAGTCAGCCTGATTTTAGGGCCATCTCATTTACTTTCTCCCATTTAGTCACAGAACTGTGAGGGTCAGGGAAGTGGTGTGCCTGGCCCAGGAACTCTGAAGAGTCAACTTTCACATCAGGGTTATATCCTAGAGCTGCATTCTTCAACCTCTATATATCTGCAGGCCCGCACCTGCCCTGCACACCAGCCCATGGACCTGCAGTTATAACCACTATAGTAGACCAGTTGTTTTGAAACTTCCTATGCCACTGGTTCACCAACCAGTGGTTGAGGAATGCAGGTTTAAAGAGTAGAGGACTACTTCCCTGATCTTTTCCTCAGTCTCCTCACACTTTAAGACTTACCTTGAGAAAGGCCCAGGAAAGTGTCGTCATTAATTGACTTTATTATAAGGCCTTTGGCTAAGGAGGTACAACAGCTTCCTTGAGAGAGATGGCATAATTTGGATGGCAATGAAAGAACAGAGAAGGTCTTTCCTGGAAAGTGTTGCTCAAAGGTCCCCCATTCACAGAAGTTGGTCTGAGCAGATGACCCATAATCAGAATGTTCCATGACTAAGAGTGTCACAATCAAGGAGTGACTCTAGCTCCTTCAAACGGTGGCACTTCCTGTGCTCACAGCCAGCTCTCAAGGCTGCTAGGAAAACAAGCTTTAACTGTGGCTATATTAAGATGGTGTGACTTCCTTTGCCATTCTGGGAACTACTTGCTTACCACACGAAATGCCTCAGTTTGGGCAAGAAGCGACTCCCTCCCTCGGGAAAGGAACTGGAGACAAATGCTGATCTCATGGGGGCCGATATTAAGAGTTGAAGAGAGTCTTCAACTAGAGAGGCTAGAGAGACATTGCCAAGAAAGTCCCAAGGTCCATATTCATGAGACTGCAGGTCACATGTCCTTGTCACACTGGAAAGAAGGTCCCAGCATGCCTGCCTCCCAGACTTGGAGAAGATTGCATTTCATCAGGTGGGCAAATCTGAGGCACAAGTGTAGAAAGGGTCCAGACCTAAGAGGTTGGGCATCCATGAGTGATCCGGACAGCCTCAGGGCAAGGAGACACAATTAGTTGGGAATGAACTTCTCAATGTACCACCCTATTACCCTGTTAATGTAAGTAACATTAATTAACCTTGTTACTAAGTCATTCCAAAGGACAACTCTGAGGGAGAAATATTGACTCTTAAGTTTCCCAGAGCATCAGCAAAGGTGACACTGAGTTTAAGAAATTATCAGGGCGGGGGACATAGCACAAAGTAAGGCATTTGACTTCCATGCGGCGGACCCTGGTTCAAAGAACAGCATTGGGCCCTTGAATACTACCAGGAGTAATCTCTGAGCACAGATCCAGGAGTAAGCCCTGAGCCATGAGTGTGCCCCCCATCTCCAGAAAAAAAATAAAAAGAGAAATTGGGACGTCTCTAGTCATGTGAAAAAGATGAAACCAAGCCAGTCCCAATGATAATTGACTTGACTCACAATAGTTCTTGACTCTGTGCAAACAATATTTTCACCTTCAGAAGTGAAAGATATAAAATCTTTATGAGCCTCCCAGAAATTCTCTGCAGGTGTGCATTTATTGCCCTTTTCCACAGACAGAAATCTGTGGCAGAGAGTGATGACAGGAAGTAGCCAGTCTTTCCAGCCAAGGAGAAAAGCCCAGATCTGTGGACTTTCTCTCCAGCCAAGGAGAAAAGCCCAGATCTTTGGACTTAACCAGACTACTTCCCCTTTATGTTTTTAACTTTTGCTTCCTCCATACATTGGGTCTGGGGGGGAAGGGAGGTGAAGAAGATAAGAGGACCTAAGTTCACAGAGAGCTTATGTCTCAGGGGTGGTACTGAAGAAATGACCATTTGGGCAACTGTAGGGTATGATCTGAGATAAATGCCATAAAGGAAGACCAATGACCAAGAGAACCGACTCAGTATCACAGGTCAGAGAAGTCTTCGTGACATGAGCTAGAGTTAAAGGATGGAAGGGAGTCACATAGGCAATGGGGAAAGCAGAGAGCCTTGGAAGGAGGTAGAAGGCATGGTGCTCTTGAAAACATAAAGCACTCCAGGGCTGAAGGGACAGGACCAGGGAAAGTGCAGCCATAGAGAGCTGTGTAGGCTCAGGTAGGGAGCAGTGAGCCACAGGAAGCCCTTGAGTGTAAATGGAGAGGGTGAAACAGAATTTCTTGTGTTATGAAAGAGAAACAATCCTGACACAGAGACAGAAGGCCTGAGTTCTGGGCCCAACTCTGCTGTCTCCATGCTAAGTGCATTAAGTCTTGGCTCCTCCCTGGGCCTTGAAAAAAAAAAAAGATCTGCCCAGGGAGGAGAGTGTGTTAGGTAAGTTTTTTCCAGCTCTTATATACTGTGTTTCTAGAATGAAGTAACAAGTAGTACCTGTATGCTTGGAATCTTCACTGTCTCAGATCTCCTGCCCTGAGCTGGTGGTTCAGACCTTGGGCTCTGTGTTCTTGCTCCAAAGTGCAAAATCATCCCTGACTGAGAGATAAATGGGGGAGGAAGTTTGCCATGTGACACTGTCCTAACAGGCTCTGCCTTTCTCCCTGTTAGGGGCAGAAGGGAGATATTGGAATCATGGGCCCTCCAGGCAAGCCTGGGCCTTCTGGTCAACCTGGCCGACCAGGACCTCCAGGCTCCCCAGGCTCTCCATCGTCAGGTAAGACCTTCCCTGTCTCGTTTCCACTATGGCACTGCACTCCCAGTCGGTCTCTCCAGAGATTGCGAGGTTCCAGCACAGATCTGTCTTATGTTCTGAATTAGAAATTGCCAGAAGCACTCAGATATAGTTATCATTCCTACCCCCACCCCCAATTTTCCTCATTCAACTTCAACAAGAAAGAGATAAACACTGTTCTGGTTTCCTTTAAACCAATAGAGCCAAACCAATAGAGGAGAGAAAAAATTTGAATTGGTTGATGTCCTTTATACTTAATGTGAAAAATAAGCAGTACCCTGGCCAGCACGAGAAATGTTTCACCGGTGGACATGGGAAATGTTCATGGCTCCAAGCGATTCTCTTGGAAGTAGTAAAGTAGCACATGAAGTGTGCTGAGGGCATCCTTATTGATCTGCAAAGACCAATTATTGATCAAAGACTGAAAGAATACTGGACAGAAATCAAAGCCCATTTCCCAGGATACGGGGTTTCCTCTTCCTCCTCACCCCTGTCGGCCTCTCCCCTCTCAGACTCCTCTTGTCAGGTCATAGGAGCACTGCCCTTCTGAGAGAGCAGGCACCGCGTCCTTAAACTGGGGAAAGGAGAGAAGGCCCACCTTAAGCCGGTGTGTCAGTAAGCCATGGCGCTCTTTCTATCCTGTGAAATGAACCATGTCCTTAAACAAAGGAGAGGAGAGAAGGCCCACCCTCAGCCGGTGTGTCAGTAAGCCACAGCGCTCTTTCTATCCTGTGAAATGAACCAGCTAGGAAGTGAGGTCTGGATTCTGTGTCTATGCTGACGGGGTGACGTGCATGGGCCCTCACAATCAGTCCTTGCCCTCCTGAATTCTGGTAAGCCAAACATTTGCCTCCAGTCCCATGACCATGACCCCCCGTCCCCGAGACTGACAGCATGACCGGAAACCTGGGTTTGCCTTTGGGAGGGACACTCTCAGCTCTTGGGGTACTTATGGATTCCCCAAGTCGAGGAGTACCTACAGGGCATGGTGGTGTATAGGGATGACCTGGACAGTCTCTCTGTGTCTCTATTGTAGGACCGGCCTCATCCAACCTGCACCCCACTTCCCTCTTGGGGTCTGTGATAGTGAGTCCCAGGACCCAGCCCCAACTCCCTAGGTGCTCAATCTTGTCACGAGGATGCACCACTTCCCTTTAGCACATCCAGCACAGACTTGTCTCCCTGTCATCCCCCAGCCCTCTTGAATCTTTTGACTCCTCTCCCTTTCCCTCCACACTCCATTCTCCGTGGAAACCAGTTTCACTGCCACCTAGCATCCCCCACCATCACCCAGGTGACAGTCAAGCTGCAACATATTCCTAGAGCCTGGGTGGATCCACCTGAAAGGGTATCGCCATCCCTCCACACACCCCCCTGATACTTCCAAGCACTCTGGGTACTTGGAGGATGGTTTACTTTCCTGATGCCCCGGGAATTTCTGTGGTAGCCCCTTCCCTCCAGTCCCATCTTTTTTCTAGGCAAGCCTGTGGGAGACTCATCTGCATCCTTGATCCCTGTGGGTGGATTGGAAGTGAGGGGGCTGGTGCCTGAAGGTGGATTAGGGGTTCTTCTCCCTGCAGGTTGATGGGGGGCTGGCCCCTGTGGATAGGCACAGACATGGCTACACCAACTCTGGCTGTCCCTCTCTTGCCTTTTTTGAAAAAGTGTTTGGGTCTCACTCAGTGATGCTCAGGGGTTGCTCCTAGCTCTGCACTCAGGAATCACTCCTGGTGATGCTCAGGGAACCGTGTGGAGTGCTGAGCATTGGACCCAGGTTGGCTGTGTGCAACGCCAGCACTGTCCCTCTGTACTATTGCTCTGGGCCCCGACTCTGGCTTTCCCACATGGGGAACCACCCAGAGTCAGTGTCTCACTGACATTTCCTCCCCATGCTTTCATTGGAGACACTTCCCAGGGTGAGGATCTGGAGAACGTGGGGGTGTGAAACCCCCTTGCTTTGGGGGAGTTGGAAGAACAAAGAGGGGAGTTTAAGAGAGACGTTCCCAGTGCCTGCTGGGAAGTCTTTAAGACTGGCAAGTCTTTAAGACCTGGAAGAGACCCAAATTCATTCCTGAGTCTGGCAGAGGTCCAGCGGAAGTCCCAAACCCACTCAAGAGAGCCCACTGACCACCCCCAAAACCTGCCCCCTGCCCCGAGCATTCAAGAACCAGCCTCGGGTTCTCCAGGCTGTCTCCTTGCACATGGGGAGTACCTTGAACCTCAGGGATCCTGGAAATCCTCCTAGGGAGCTCAGAAGCCCCTTTAGGGCACACCAGGAGCTGGGGAGTGAGTCGAGACTGTCCCAGGAGTTTCTCTACTTTCTCCCCACCTCTCCAGCAGGAGGTTCCCTGGGGTCAAGTCCTCTGGCTAGGGGGTGCTGGGGTTGCTGTGCCCTTCAGGGATGGCTGGCAGGAAGCAGCCAGGGTAATGGATGCCCTCCGACAGCTGGGAGGAAGCAGCAGGGAAACTGCAGAGGTAGCAGGAAACAGGCTCCTGGTCACTTCCTGTTTCCCGTGGCCCATGGAGGGTGGTGTCAGGGACAGGAGGGTACAGGGGCAGGTGGGGAGACAGAGAGGACGGGGCAGGGGGGTGGAATACTCGAGTTCCAGGCAAAAGGAGCCTGCAGGTCAGGGGGGAAGTGAAGGCAAGTGCCCCAAGGGGGTAGTCAGCAGTAAGCCTGAGACAAGACTGTGTCCTTCCTTCGTGGGCATGATGGGATTGGCTGGCACCTGGGAACACCAGCTTCCCCCACCATGTGTTAAGATGATGGTTTTGAATGGCGGGTAAAAATTTCTCAGCCTCAGTCCTAGATCATCATGCATGGGGACAAACTCTTTTCTTTTCTTTCTTTCTTTTTTTTTTTTTTTGCTTTTTGGGTTACACTCAGTGATGCCCAGGGGTTACTCCTGGCTCTGCACTCAGGAATTACTCCTGGCGGTGCTCAGGGGACCGTATGGGATGCTGGGAATCGAACCCGGGTCGTCCGCGTGCAAGGCAAACGCCTTACCCGCTGTGTTATCGCTCTAGTCCCAGGGGGGCAAACTCTTAGACCCCCTGGAGACCAGAGCTCTGATGGAGACGCTGCAGCCACAGGCCCTGTTAGGAGGTGGCTCTAGAGCCTGTTTCACAGCCCCTCGTCACTGGGGCTTCTCGGCCCGGCACTGGCTCCCAAGAATATTCCTGGGCCAGTGGCACCTCTGTCCAGGCTTTTCAGAATAAAGGGCGAGAACACCAGGCTGCAGCTCCTCCACAGAATCGTGCTCATCTCTGCTCAAATGAATAGGCACTCTAAGGTGTGGCAGGTATGAGGCAAACCTCCTTCCCTGTATGCTGGCTATGTTCCTATCCGCACATCTCTGCCACCCAGCCAGGAGGGCTCAGGGATTGAGGGGTTTCCTCCCACTGGGGGATCCCCCTCCAGCTCCTGCTGCTACCAGAGGGGCCCTTTTATCTTCCTGGGCTTCTTTCTGGCATCTGTGTACTGCACAGCCAGCCACGGTGGGTGCAGATGGGTGTGCTATTTTCGGGTGTGCTGTGGGGCTTGCAGATGTGGCCCGGGTCTATTTTTGTTTGTTTTTTGGGTTACACCTGGCTATGCTCAGGGGTTACTCCTGGCTTTGCACTCAGGAATAACTCCTGGAGGTGCTCAGGGGACCATATGGGATGCTGGGTATCGAACCTGGGTTGGTTGCATGCAAGGCAAATGCTCTACCCGCTGTGTTATCACTCCAGCCCCAATGACTCAGGTCTTGAGAACTTTGAAAAGTGCTGCTACCGGGGTTCTCTCCTCAGCAGCCTCATTTGGGCCTATGACCAGGCCTGAGGACCTATCAGGGTCCAGGAGATCACCACTGCCCACCTAGCAGATTGCCCCATCGCATCTTGTCAGGACATGTTTCTCCATGGTTTCAGTAGGCTGAGCACTTCTTAAAGTTTCTATTTTTTCCCTCAGTGAAACCAAAGAAACTCACCCAGAGACATTCCTTGGCCCACATCTGGTGTGTGGAAAGGAACAAATAAGGGCCCGGAAGTGGCTCTGTGGTGAGGCACATGTGTGAAGTCCTGGGTTCGAGACTCAGCACCACAAATCAAAACCACACTCATTTAAGAATAACAAAGGAAATTATTTTTATTTATTTATTTATTTTGCTTTTTGGGTCACACCCAGCGATGCCCAGGGCTTACTCCTGGCTCTGCACTCAGGAATTACTACTGGCAGTGCTCAGGGGACCATATAGGATGCTGGGAATAGAATCCAGGTCAGCTGCATGCAAGGCAAACACCCTACCCACTGTGCTATCACTCCAGCCCCAGTTTTTTTTTTTTACAGTTATCAGCAAGCCATGTGTTCACCAGCAAGAACCCCCCTGAGAAAAATGATTTTTCTTAAGTTTGAAGCTGACTCTGCAGCGAATTGCTTTGGTCTTTCTCTTCTGTTGATTTCTCTGCTCAGACCTGTGACTCATGGCTGCAATATTGCAACAGCAATACCAGACATTGCATCTGTCTTTGGGCAGGAATAAGGAGGAAACTTGCTGCATTTCTTATCAGTTGTGTTTCTTCCTTATCAGGAAAGATTTTTCCCAGATTCCCACCCTTCTGCCATGGCATACCTCAGGTTGGCCAACACAGTAGCCCATGGGCAATAGAGAGTCTGACTCTAGTGCGGAGAGAGAGGCGGGAGGGAGTTGGAGGGTTAGGAAAGATGCTGCTACGTCCAGGCGAGATCAAGAGCTCACAGAGAGGGAACTAGAGCGATAGTACAGGGGGGAGGGCACCTGCCTTGCATGTGGTGACCTGGGTTCAATGCCTTGCATTCCATATGGTTCCCTGACCGCTACCAGGAATGGTCCCTGAGGGCAGTCCTGAGCACCTCTGGGTGTGGCCCAAAAGCCAAGCCCTACCACCCATCAAAAAAAAAAAAACACAAGAAAATATCGCCTCCTCCACATTTCAGGTCAGAAGCGGCTATCTGAAGCCCTCCCCCAATTTGCGCCCTGAATACTGTGGGTTTCTGCTGTCTTTCTGTCGATAGTGGCTGGCATCTCTGTGAGCGGGTGGGTTCTCTTCCTTGGCTCTGTTCACAGAGCAGTCTGTTGCTTCCTAGGACATCTTATAATGGGACCCAAAGGGGAAAGAGGACTTCCCGGGCCTCCAGGAAGATGTCTGTGTGGGAACCCCTGGAATGTGAACAACCCCTCCCATGGGGAGTCAGCGTCTGGGCCCAGCTCCCCTCAAGTCCCCGTGGTAAGACTTTTCTGGGCAAAATCTGGGGTGCCTGTCCCACAAGACCAAGTCCCACACAACCTCCATGCTGTGTAAAAATCTGTTGGTAGAGTTGGTAGAGTTCCCTCGCCCCCATGATACTGGGGACAACTTCATAACAGGAAATTGGAAAATGGGAAAGGATAAAAAGCCAATTGCTTATTTTGGAATATTCCTTTTGTGTGTGTGTGGAGGGGGGAGGAGTGGCAGCTCAGGGACTATTCCCCAAACTGTGCTCAGTGTCCTTCTCAAACAGTTCAGGAGAGCATGCAGTGCTGGGATCAAACCTGGGCCAGTGCAGTCCTGAGAGCAGCTCTCCAGCCCCACTTGGTCTTAATTTTTTGGGGGGTCATTCCCACAAATATTCAGGGTTTACTCCCAGCTCTGCACTCAGGAAATACTCCTGCTGGTACTTGGGGAACTATATGAGATGCTGGGGATTGAACTTGGGTCAGCTGCATGCAAGGCAAGCACCCTATCCGCTGTGCTATTGCTCTGGCCACAACTTGGTCTTTTTTTTTTTTAAAAAAAAAAAGAATGACTTTTTTATGGGGGGAATTCCAGATATCTGAGCTGTGCCACTACTCTGCAGCTGGAACCCACCATGTTACTACTTTGTTAATCTCTCTCTCTCTCTCTCTCTCTCTCTGTTTTGGGGCTACACCCAGTGGTGCTCAAGGCTTACTCCTGGCTCTGTGCTCAGGGACCTCTCCTAGGGCTAGGGGGGACCATATGCGATGCCAGGGATCCAACCTGGGGCAGTCACAGGCAAGTGTCCTACCAGCTGTATTATCTTTCTGGCCCTGTCAATCTTAACCTTTTTTTATTATAAAGAACATAAATGTATACAAAGGGAAAACGATGTAATAAACCTGTGTGTGACTGCATCCTGATTCAATAATTGTCACTTTGACTCATGTTTTCATTTCCTCTTACTCCTGATTCACTGCTGCCCACCCTCCATGGATTATTTGAAGTGAACCCCAGCTTTGAATTAATTAATGATAACATCATTTGAGTGGACATAGAACCATTTATCCATCATATGGCTGAGTTGTGTTTTATTTATCACAGTGCCATATTGTTGGATATTTATAAGGTGTCCCCATGCTTTTCATTAATGTAAATGCACTGTAATGGACATTTTCTGATAGAAAACATTGTTAAGGGACCAGAGAGTTAGTACAGCAGGTAGGGAGCTTGCCTTCCATGTGGCTAACCTGGGTTCCATCCCCAAAATCCCATATGGTTCCCCTGAGTCCTGATTCAGGTTCTGCACTCAGGCATGATTTCTGAGTGGAGAACCAGGAGTAACCCCTAAGCACCGCTGATGTGGCCCCCAAACAACTAAATTGTTAAGAATTATTTCCAGAAGATGGAGAAAAATACAGGGGTTCAGGGGCTTGCCTTGTGCAGAGCTTACCCAATTTAATTTCTGTTACCATTACTGCTATGGTCCCCTGCATACCTCCAGGAGTGATTCTTGAGCACAGAGCCAGAAATAAGCCCTGAACACAGCCAGGTGTGGCACAAAAATGAGAAATAAGATAATATGGGGATGACAGAAACACAGAGAGGGACACACACATATGCACACACACACACACACACACACAAAGAGAGAGAGAGAGAGAGAGAGAGAGAGAGAGAGAGAGAGAGAGAGAGAGAGAGAGAGAGAGAGAGAGAGAGAAAATCATTTCCAGGCCACATGGTTCCCTGAGCATCACCAGAAGCAGTCCCCAACCCCCCAGCACAGAGCTGGAAGCAGTTTCCAAACACTACCGAGTGTGGCCCCCCAAAGCTCAGATACATATATCAAAAACATGAGAATCATCTCCAAATGTTGATTGATTTGAGTAAATGGCTCTATCTTTTCATTTAAGTCTTTGGGCTATTAGAATATCCAAACCATGAATATATTTTTTCAGTTTAAACTCGTATTGAGTAGATGTGGGAGTCAAGACACCCCTGCACCCCCCTAGGAGGAACACTAGAGTATAACAAAAGCAGCTTCCTTGTTCCCAGCGCACCTGCCCGAGGTCCCAGCTTCTCCCCAACATTCCTCGTAAAAGTGCTTTCTAGAATCCTCACCCCCATGTTCCCCGGCAGATTTTCGTGGTGAACAACCAGGAGGAGCTGGAGCGGCTGAACACCCAGAATGCGATCGCCTTCCGCAGGGACCAGAGATCTCTGTACTTCAAAGACAGCCTTGGCTGGTTCCCTATTCAGGTACCCCCCCTTCCCATGCCCACCCCACCAGGGCCCAGGGCGCCTCATTCCCGGGTGGATGGGCACCGCACTGCCTGCAGCATCTCCAGGGAAGGGCTGAACCTGGTCCCCTGGTCCTCTCACACACACAAGCTTCTCTCTGAATCCCGGGGAGCTGCAGCCACCGTGCGGCCACAATCTTCCTGCTTGAGCTCCGGGTGACAGGAGAGGAATGGGTACCTGTCCCACCCCAGGGCCATCCCAAGGTTACCTCCTGCCCCCTACACATCAATGACCTCTCTGCCCCGTGGCAACCTGCCATGCTAGCCCTGGTAACCGCTGTGTGTCTCTGCGGCCAGCTGACGCCGCTCTACCCCGGGAACTACGGTGTTGCCCGCCACAGCACCTGTGGGGACGGAGTCCTACAGCCTGGGGAGGAATGTGATGACGGGAACAACGACGCGGGGGACGACTGCATCAGTGAGTGGGGCCCGGGGCTGGGGCTACCCCAGGGTTGGGGGGAGGGCGGAACAGGGCAAGATGCCAGCATTGGTGTTTGGGACGGTGTAAGGGACAGCAGTGGGGTTCCTTGGCTCCTGGAGGGAACAACCATGTCCATCCAAGGCACATGTCCACGGCGGGGGGCACGGGGGGAGTCTGGAGAAGAGGCTGTCTCTGAGAAGCTTCCAGCTGGGTGTTGGTTGCCTCATCCTGGGTAAACCCCACATGCCTGACATTCTTTTCAGAAGGGGAAGGGGACACAGGACCGAGCAGCTTGGGGAGGTATGGCACAGAGTCAGGTCCCTGCCCTCAGGTAGGGGCATGGAAAGGAGGCTGAGAGGGAGACGGGGGCTGAGGGGCCCCACAGCAGAGGGCTACTCGCCATAGGACTGGGCCCCTCCAGACAAAGGGGCTTTGTCTGGAGCCCCTGTGAAACTGTCACACAGGTCACATGGCAAAAAGTAGCTTTTCAGTGGGGAGCTGGGAGGTACCGTGAGAGAGGAGACACCTCCCTACTAGAGATCTTCTGAAGCCCCCCTGTGGAGAGACAAGCCACCATGGCCTATGCGCCTCCTCAGGGACCCTCTCACCCCCAGACCCCCAAGTGTGTGAGATGAGAACATGAGACCCCAGAGGACAATGGACCATTTTCAAGGAGGGCTTTGGGGGGCCGGGGGGCTCAGAGGCACTCCTGAAACTCCATGGAGCTCTGGTCTAGACAGGCCCAGATGAACCCCTCCCACCCCCCTCAATTCCTAACTCTCCTCATGTTCCCTCAGGCTGTCACCGGGCCTACTGTGGAGACGGTCACCGGCACAGGGGTGTGGAGGACTGTGACGGCTCTGACTTTGGCTACCTGACGTGTGAGACGTACCTGCCCGGGTAGGAGCCACCTCACGCGCTAACGCCCTGGGAATGAGGCTCCCCTCAGGGGCACCCTCTGGCTTCCCTGGAGACTCAATCGTGACCCTGTGCCCCACACACAGACATTGCAGTCGTGGCCTCCACAAGGACATCTCCCAAGCCCTCTGAGGGTCCCAGGAGGGGTCCAGGCCCAGAACGTGGCCTTTTTTCTGGGTTTAAGATGGCGCCACATTCCCCCAAAACCTCAGAGCTAGAGTTGTATCTGACTCTCAGGGAAATGAAGGCGCTGTTTCTCAGCCTGCCATTTACACCCTGCTCCTCCCTTGGCCCCCCAGAGGAGGGGAGTCCCACCACCAGTCTTTGCTCCTTTGTTCCCTTTCTTCTGGAACAGGACCTACACCCCCTTTCCGCTCTCCTTCCTGAGAGAGGGTCTTCTCAAAGCTGCCTCCCCTAAATGCAGATCAGATCAGGTGGGGTAACTGCAGACAGGAGGCTCTTCAGTTATAAGAGGAAGGAGAGTGAGCGAGCCCACAGACCTGAGTGGAACCCATCAGCCGTGGAGGGCAGGACCGAGTAGCAGCCAGGGCTCACGCACACAGTGGTGCCAGCCAGTCACAGAGGCCTCTGCCGGTGCTGGGGAATGTGGGTGTCAAATAGAACACCCACTCGCGATTAGCACAGAGGTGTGGACACCATCCCTGGGGCAGTCCCCAACTACATATGGTGATTCACACTTATTGGAATTAGATTTTTAAAAAAATCTGGTCCTGCTAGCCACACTTATGCAATAGCCCTTGCTGGGCAGTGGTCAGCTTATGGGACTGCAGAGAACTAGATGCTTTGGCATAGCCAGGAAGCCTTGCAGGACAAAGCAGGGCAAGCATCTCTGGTAGGTGCAAGAGCAAGAACCACCATCCCCCTTCTACCTCAGATCAGGTGTGTGGGGGGGTGTCGGGGCAGGGCAGGCCAGACTGGACACAACTTGCACCTCACCCCAGAAAACAGCTTTCACTGGACCTGAACCCCAACAAGGTGGCTGCAGGGGCTGCCCTGGGGGGTGTTGAACCCAGAGTCACTGGCGGTCATAGTGGGTGGAAGGGTGGTCACAGGGATGGTCCTCAGACTTACCCACTTCTTCTCCTCAGGTCCTACGGAGACCTGCAGTGCACCCCTTACTGTGCCATCGACTCCACGCCCTGCCGCTATTTCACGTGAGGGCCACGAGGCGCAGGTGGGCGCCACATCCCCGCATGGGCAGCAGTTTCCCCGTCTGGTCCAGCTGGCCCCAGGTCGCCCGGGCTGTAGCACCATTACGTGACCACACACACAAAGGGACAGGCTTTGCTGCTCAGATGCGCTTTCAGCTCAGCCCGATGGGAGGCCGTGGGTAGGAACCGCCGCACCTCCAGATGTTGGACAGCCTCCCACAGTGGACCCATCCATCGTTGCTCTGTCCTGGCCCTGGCTGTCCCCTGCACTCTTTTCCTGCTGAGGGGACCACCCTTGGCTGCAGGGTCAGACACAGAGACTTGCAGGGCTGGGTGGCCGGGCTTCCAGTGCCCACCTCCCAGCTGTGGGCACCTGCCCTGCCTTAGCCTGTCAACTCTGGAAGCTGTCCTCGGGGTGTGGGGTGGGGAGGACTCCCCACTCTAGCTCCAAGGAGGGGCCCCTCAAACTGTCAGTGTGCACCAAAGCGGCTCCAGCAGGAAGACACACAATTGTGAAGAAGAACTGAAAAGGCGACCTCCCGGGCCTGCTCTGGCTGGAAGAGACCCGGCAGGCCCGCTGCCGCCTCCTGCCTGCGTCCACTGTCTCCACAAGGGTGGCCTTGACACCACCTCTGGCAGGGTCCTACCAGGAAGCTCTCTGCTCTGGGGCCTCATGTCCAGTTCCAGTTCTGGAGCTTTGCTGGCGGTGCTGCTGGTGTGTGGAGAAGAATCCCGTCTGGGGTTCCTGGCGACGCCCCTGAGGGGAATGTCCTGCCAGCCACCTCCGGTCATGGCCATCTCCCTACCGCAGAGCCTGGTCCTCACATCTGTGCACCTGAACTCCACGCATCCCCAGGACCCTTTGTCCTGCGTATCTGAGCTTTGGTTTGCAGAGACATGGCCCCATTCCATCCCCGTCCCAGTCAATGAGATTTGCCTATCATCTGTCCCCAGATCTCGGGGCCTTTGTGCAGAGCTCTTCAGTGGGCCCCAGTCCTGGGTATCCTCTGAGCTGGCAGGCCCTGATCTGGAGTGGGTTCAGTGGGCCCAGGGGTCTTAGGCTCAATTGCGTGTCCCAGGGTGAGGGGGCTCCCCTGAGAAGCCCCCCCCCCCCGACATCCATCCCGGAACCTGCAGATGGCACATCTGGAAATAAAGGCCCTTCCTCTCCCCAACTCACCGCCTCTCTCGTCCCTGGTGGTTCGGGGGCCCTGTGTCTGATACGGCTGGGTGGAATGAGGCATCTGCAGCCAAGGCCATTTCCTGGATCCCACAGAGGTTCTAGAATGTGGAGACAATCTGGCTCCCTCAGGGACAGAGAGGAGAAGAACTGAGGCCCAGGGGTGGGAAGGAGGCGGCTTTGCTCAATCAAGGTCAAGAAAACCGTACTCACTCAGCCCCACCTGGTCTCCTGGTCCATAGGGACTGGTTGGGGTAGGTAGGGGACCCGTCTTGGACTGAGCCAGGAGGGCACCCTGCCTTGAATCCCTCGTTCTGGGGACACCAACCTAGTCCTTTCCGGGCTGTGATTCTCCCGTGAGGCATGGGATCTGGGAGGGTCAGGGGACACTCCTCTACGCTCCTACTCCAGAGACACAGGAAATGACTGTTCCCACTTCAACCCAGTGGGCCTGAGCTTGTTTCTTCCCCCTAAGTGTGACACCCACACCTGTGAACAGAAAGGGGACAAGGGCTCTCAGCGAGAGGGGATCTGGGTCTGAAGTCTCCTAGCGGGCCAGTCTGGGGCCTCATTTTCTTGTGCCGCATCAAATCTAGTCTCTCTGTCTTAAAAAAAAAAAAAAAGCGTGTTGGGGCTGGAGAGATAGCACAGAGGGTAGGGCGTTTGCCTTGCACGCAGTCGACCCAGGTTTGATTCCCAGCATCCCATATGGTCCCCTGAGCACCGCCAGGAGTGATTCCTGAGTGCAGAGCCAGGAGTAACCCCTGTGCATCGCTGGGTGTGACCCAAAAAGAAAAAAAAAAAGCGTGTCAGGGAGCAGAGGACACGGTTTCACTCTAAGGTCTTCAAATATTTGCATAGGGGCCCCCCTCGCTGCCTGTCCCTCGACCCACAGTATTAGGAAAAAGACTCCCAGGGTCTCCAGAGGTGGCTGGTCACAAGAGGTCGTGCCAGTCCAGATGCTTTTGTTGGCAGGAGGCAGAAAATTCAACCCAAATAGGACTGAAGTATAGGGTGAGGCCTATGGGTTCGAGGAACGTAGTTTCCCGTGGAAAGGTGGCCTCCAGTCCGCTTCCCCGCTTAAGAATATCCTTTGTGCCATCTACATCTCTCCCATTAACTTGCCCCTCCACTGCTGTAGCTCCAGGCTGGCAACTGCAGCCTGGAGTTGAATGAATGTCCAAAGGGAGTGAGAACTGGCCCAGTTGCTTGTAACTTGCCCTGAAGCCCCAGAAATTTTTCCTGGAACCTCGCTGGCTGTTTGGGGTTACAATTCCCACTGCCAAGAGTATGCCATCTTTGGACTGGATCAGAACTGGGTGCCTGCTATAAGATCACCCTTGGACCAGGGATATTCCAGAAGCTCCTTGGCAGCAGGGGGCAAGGGTGACAGCTGGGCTGAGTACTGGGGAGGAACAGGGGTCACGGGGAATGGTGCTGGGAATACACACATCCACCATAGCTTCTTCTTCTTCTTTTGCTTTTTGGGTCACACCCGGATATGCACAAGGGTGACTCCTGGCTCATACACTCAGGAATGACTCCTGGCAGTGCTCAGGGGACCATATGGGATGCTGGGAATTGAACCTGGGTCGGCCACGTGCAAGGCCAATGCCCTACCCTCTGTGCTATTGCTCCAGCCCCCATCACCACAGTTTCTTTCTGCTTTTGCTTCTCCAGGAAGAGGGGTTGAGTTCTGGGGGGATGTGTGGGAAGGATGCCTACCCCAGAAGGTGTTTGGTCAGTCAGTCAGCTTGGAGATGAGCATTTCCATAGGGCAACTCAGGGAGTGGAAGACTTGTAGTTTCTGGATTCCCACTCCTGGGTCTGGAGGCTGGCTCCATCCCTAGACCGCTGTGAAATCATCTTACAAAATTTGCTGTACTTTCCTACTTCCTCCTCTTAAAAGTGGGTCAGGGTGAATGTTAGTGATAATTAAAGCTTCTGACACTAAGGGACGATTGGATTTGATGTATCCTGGTGATCACTGAGTCAGACCACGCCTCTTTAGGATTGGAGGTATTTTTCCTTCCCTCTCTGAGGCTGTGGATGAGTCAACAGCGGAGGTAGCTGGTTACTTAGCAACAAGTAACCGGAAGGGTGTTTTAGGTTGCAAAGGGAAGTGAATGAATATAGGAACCAAGAAGGCAAGTGCCAGGTCTGGAGGAGTTTGGATTGGGTTTGGTGCCCTCTGCAGGAACCATTAATAAAAATCTCTCTTGGGGGAAGGTGAAAAAAAAAATCTTGTCTTCATTCTCAGAGGACTTGTATTATTTGGCCAGGAAAATCTGGGAGTGAACTTAGGGGTCACAGGGCCCAATGTTTTCAATTCAATCACGATCACGATCATCCTGTTGTTCGTTGATTGCCTCGAGCAGGCCCCAGTAACGTCTCCTTCGTCCTAGCCCTGAGATTTTTAAAAAGTGCCATATTCAAGGCTCTTTCAGGGTTAGGAGAATGAGACCCATCATTGTTACTGGTGTGCTGGCATATTGGGTACGCCACAGGGAGTTTGCCAGACTCTGCTGTGTGAGCAGGTTACATTCAGTAGCCTGTCAGGTTGTCCAAAGTAAGAATGAGATAATAATAAGTCCCGCAGCCACGAATGCGGCCGCGTGCTTCTGGGAACTGGGTTTTAGAATCTCTGGGTCTTGGCCGTTGAAGGGATTACACGGCGCCAGGGGGGCAGTTGGTGGACGTGACCCTTGCCTACTGGAAGATGGAGGATCTGGGTGGAGGATGCTCAGCCCCAATCGAGCAGGCTTGGAGATCTCAGCCCCAGGACCCACATGCCTTTGTTCCTCTGCCGGTACCTTCATGCGTGTGGAGAGCGGTCTCAGCATGGTTGTTGCTGGTTCTGGAGGTCTTCCGTATGTTCTCAATTATGGTGGAAATATGGATAAGGCAGAGAGTACATTGTAGAAACTGTCCTAAATCTTCTCCTCCCTCCATCCACACCTCTTCTAAGGCAACTGCAACTCCTCTTACCAGTTGGGAAAAGTCTATTTCCACACTCTTCAACTCTCAGCTCGGCCCTGTGACTTGTTGGCCCGATAATGAAGCAACATTGTGAGGAAGCTGCCTTCTTGCTCTCTCATTTGATTCCCTTCTCTGCCTTTTCTTACAATATACCCAGGCTGGGTTACCTGGGCCTAAGGCCCCTGGAGCAAACCTATTCGTGCCAGTCAAGATTTCTTCTGCCAAGCCTGACTTGGTGCTTTAGACTTGAGAGTGGAGGGTCTTGACTGGGCCTCTAAATGTAGCTGGCAGTTTTGAGACACGTGTAGAGGTTCAGTCAAGAGCCCCTACTCTTAAGTCTAAAGCACCAATTCAGGCTTGACAGAAGAAATGTTGATTTTTAAGCCAGCGTCTTGTGGTAGCTGGTTAAAACTGCCACTTGTAGTGGTAACAACAAAACTAGGCTAAAACTCAGGGGATCCATGTGTAGCACTCCTCCCCAAGAATCTCGGCTGGGCCTAACTCCTCCTCCTGCCTAAGGAAATGGGGCGAGGCATGGTTAGTAAGGAGCAAAGAATTCCTACCTGATTTCTCTTAACATTTCATTTTCATTTCATCATCCTGTTATTCATCGATTGCCTCGAGCAGGCCCTAGTAACGTCTCTTTCATCCTAGCCCTGAGATTATATTCAAGGCTCTTTAGGAGAATGAGACCCATCATTGTTACTGGTATTTGGCATATTTGGTACACCACGGGGAGTTTGCCACACTCTGCCCTGGTGGTACTCAGAGCTCACACTTTCTCAGTGCTCAAAGATCACTTCTGGTGGGGCTAGGAGGCTCATCATAGGAGGAGGTGCTGGGGATTGAACCTGGGTTGGCCACATGCATGGCAAGCATCTTACCCACTGTACCATTTCTCTCCCTCCTCCACCCTGTCTTTTTCAGATCTTGGTTTTTATGTCATTTGATAACATATACAGATTTAATTCAATCTGGAGAGGTTGGAGAGATAGTCTAGGGGTTAAGGCTCTTATGCTTAATATGCAGCCTATCCTGGTTCACTTCACTTTCTCTTAACAAGTGCTTATATTTGATCAAATTTTTTTAAATAATTTTATTTTTAAATTAAAAAAAATTTATTAGTGAGACACCATGAGGTACAGTTGTAGACTTACAAATTTTGTGCTTGGGTTTCAATTATACAATGATCAAATACCCATCCCTCCACCAGTGCCCATTCTCCACCACCACTAATCCCAGTATCCCTCCCACCCCCCCATCCCCCCATCCCCCCTGCCTCTGTGGCAGGGCATTCCCCTCTGTTCTCTCTCTCCTTTTGGGTGTTGTGGTTTGCAAAAGAGGCATTGAGTGGCAATCATGTTTGGTCTATAGTCTACTTTCTGCATGTTTCTTCCATCCTGGGAGGATCCTCCCAACACCCTTTATTTGGCGCTCCCTTCTCTATTTGAGCTGGCTAGCGAGTGTGACTAGCCTCCAAGCCATGGAGCAAAATTCCTGGTACTAATCTCGGCCACTCTTGGGTGTTAGTCTCCTATTTTGTTACTTTATGTTTCCCAGATGAATGCAATCTTTCTATGTCTATCCCTCTGTTTCTGACTCATTTCGCTTAACATGATACTTTCTATGTAGCGGTCAGAAAAGATGAAGTCATGAAATTTACATACAAGTGGTACTACATGGAAAGTATCTGATTCAAATTTTAAGCACCCTTTAGGTGAAAGACACAACAATTGAGGCTGCAGTGATCGTACAATGGGTAGGGCCTTGCATGCAGCCAACCTGGATTCGATCCCATAGGCTGCCTGAGCACCACCAGGAGTGATCCTTGAGTGCTGAGTCAGGTGTAAACCCTGAGGACTACCAAGTGTGGTCCCTAAACAAAGCAACCCCTCCCCCCCAAAAAAAGGCACCACTATAAAAAAGATGGTCAGGGGTTGGAGTGATAGCACAAGTGTTTGGCTTGCACGTGGCCCACCTGGGTTCGATTCCCAGAATCCCACATGGTCCCCCGAGCACTGCCAGGAGTAATTCCTGAGTGCAGAGCCAGGAGTAAGCCCTGGGCATTGCCGGATGTGACCCAAAAAGCAAAAAAAAACAAAAAAAAAATTAAATTAAGAAAAAAATGATCAATGGCAATTTCGGAGCTTATAGCTTGTCCAACAGACAGATGTGGACGTGGCAGTCCCAGAAAGGTGGACCTGGAAGCAAGTGGCAGGATACTTCCAGCATGTGCACTTTAGGGGGTGACACAGCCCCCACAGAACTGTGTACACAACATTCCAGGTGAAAGGGATCTGGTGAGCTAAGACGACGTGCTGAGGCCGTGGGTGCTAGAACCAAGGCTTCTCCACTCCCCTTTTCAGACCCAACGCCACGTTGCTTCCTCCAATCGCCCTTCCATCTTCAACGACGCATCTTTTAAAGCTGCTGTGTACATCCTCAAACCTCAAGAGCAACAGATGTAATGAGACTTGAACACAAAGGATTCGGAAAAGACTGCTGGACATTGGCTTCGAGACCACCGATTACTACTAAAAAATTAAAACACACCAAATCATGGAGTATTGCTGACCTTCATTTTTTACTTAAATATAATGATTTTTTTTAAAGAGAATAAACCAAACAAACAAAACACAAAACACCTTTTACAGAGCAAATACATAAATGTAAACATGCACAGATCTACTTCATAATTAAGCAAAATAAACTTTTAGGCACAAGGTTTTAAAAATCATTAAAGAATGAGACAATGAACCCAAGACAAAGGTAATAGGAGGAACCAAAAAAAAAAACATTTTATAACGCCTCAGTTGGTCTTGTCATCGAAACTGTTAAGGCCTGAGTTTTGAAATTCATACCTTCCTTGCCAACTGGAAACATCCAATTTGGCTGTACCAAATATTCACCCATCGATTACTCTTTCAAGATAATGTAATAAATACATAACACATACACACACACACACACACACACACACACACAGAGAGCCCCGACTGAATCAGCCTCTCAAGCAGGGACACAAGGATTTTGGAATTTTCAAGTTTCCCACCACTGAAGCAAGTAGTATTAACACCACACATAGAAAAAAAACCTCTGCCATGAAAATAAAACAGCAAATGAATGGCATCACTACAGATCTCTGGTTCAAAGTTTCCCTAAATCACATCTTCACTGTGATCTCCCAAGACTCCTCTGGTGTTTTGAACCCCAGTCTGTAACCCTCACCTAACCCACAGGATGGTAGACATACACAGTGAAAGGCAATTTTAACATTTCGCTTCGAGACCAGAAACTCATGAAAATCAGCATGGATCTGAGACCTCAAACTTGTAAAACCTGCCCAATTCCAACCCCCCAGACCCCTTCTCCTGTCTCCCCCATCTGCCCTGTTGTCTTCGCCTCCTCCCCTCCAGCCTGTCGGCAGAGGAATCTATCTCCCCGTGGACACTGCAGGGAGCAGAGAGAACAAGAATCCCTACTCCTCTGGAGGAGTCCACACCCAAGAGAACTCTCGGAGAGGAGGGGAGCATGCGCAGAAACGCCGGGGGATACGGTGCGTGGGTGGGTGGGTGGGATGAGGGAAAAAATCCCAAGAAGGATCCATGATAACGGCAGACTGGGGAATGGGGCGGGTGCAGCTGAGAAGGCACATAGGCAGGAAGGCTGTGCGGTCTGGCGGTAGAGGAGGATTGTGCGGAGTCGGGCACAGGGTCCGAAGCTCCGAGAACACCAGTCACTCACCACACCAGGCCCAGGCACAGGGACTTCCTATAGAAACTTCTCCACCCGACATGCCCCAAACCACAGTTCTGTCTCTATAAATTGACTCTGGAAGGGGTGGGGGGAAGAGGGAGAGAGAGAGAGAGAGGAGAGAGAAAAGGGTGGGTGTGGGTGTGTGGGGTGGAGATTAAAAGCTATTTTCATTCAAGTTCCTGGAACTTGCCCCAGCTTGAACAAGTACAAAGCAGTGAAAACAATTCCCACCTCTAGTAACAATTCAAGTCTCCTAACCATGACATTCCCGGCTCACCTTCCCTGAGCTGTCATTCCTAAGGAATTACAAAGCAGTTAGCAATTCATCCTAAATTCCTACCTGACATTAAACCCACAGGACCCTTACAAGGGGCTGAGAAACCCAGTGTGAGGGGCGGTGCGCCCCGATTACCAACAACGGGTGGAGTGGAAAAGTGCACCCCAGACACCTTGTACCTCTCCAGCTACGTGGGATCCTCATGTGGATGAAACAGAAGACCCTTAGCATCACCCCACACCCAACTTCCACCACTGACCACCTGCTTCCTTTTGACATCCGGAGCGCATCCTTCCCCTAGCTGAGGAGTCTAGAGACCCAAGGCATAATAATTATGCTTCATCTTCCTGATACCCGTGGAGCCAGAGCAGACGGACACTTCCCGGGACACATGCATTCCAATGGTGGAAATGGGTCACTCCATATTAACTCTGGGGTCAAGTGCACACTAGCTCGCTGTGGACATTTCCTTGCGACCAGTTTCTCGCAGCAACAGACTCAGTCGGAAACTGCACACTGCAGAAGGCAACCTTGTGATGTAGCTCACATTGTCTATAAAATTAACACGCATCGGTCTGGGAGTCAGGCACAAACAACGGCACAAAAGTGTGAACACAAAACACCGCATCCAAGCATGGGTTCACGTCGCATTGCGGAACTCCCGACCAGGCCGTGGCTTCACCATTCCCACAGGTTTCCTCACCGTAGCTCTCTCTCACTGGCCCCGGCCCCGAGCGCGCTGCACGAAGAACACTTGGGAGGGATCTAAGACACGGAACTAAAAGGCCCAATTCAACTGAGTCACAGAATTGGCTGCTGCGTTTGTCGGCTCACCCTGCGCCGTGAGCTCAGGGACTGTGGGGAACCGAGTCTGAGCCGGACTCCAAGTCAAGTTCCAGGGGACACATCAGTCCCGTGAAGGAGAATGTCTGGCTCCGATAAAGGGGGATTCCAGGAAGGGAACAGTGGGAAAAGCCTGACTGGGAGCAGGAGGCCACCACAAAGCAGAGGTGCGCCGCCCGGCTGTAACGAGGGGTGGGGGTTGGGGGTGGGGTGGAACGAACAGAGGTGGGGGGAGGGGGCCACCAGCTCCCCACCTGGGGGTCCCCTTCTACACAGGTGCAACACACCAGGGTACACGAAGCTTCCTTCCCACTTTCATGTCGATGATTTAAAGTGGTTCGAGAACAAACTTTTGATAGGGCCCTGTGTGGTCCCCCCACCCCTCACTCTTGGGGTCCTCCAAGACAGTGTCTCATCTCACGGCTGCAGACCGTCTGCCGGCTGGGTGGTCGCTGAGGTTGGAAACTGCCTCGTCGCTGGCCTGGGGAAGCCATGGCCGGAGCCCTGCAGGGCACTTCTGGCTGGTTTTCAGGAATAGTGTTAACCCAGTAGAAACGCAATTCTGTAACGTCTTCTCTAGCTCTACTGAAACTTGGGAACATGAGATTACACGAGAAAAGTCACCCATCACCACTAAGTTGAAAGACTTGGGTACGAGAGCTCCGGAAACGCGGGTGTCTCCGAGGCACCGACCCGCCGCGCCCTGGGCCTCTTGGCTGTGGCCGCCGTGCTCAAGTCGCCCAGGCGTGCGGCGCATCTGTGAACCAACCGGCCGACTTTCAAAGGTCCAGCTCTAGTCGTCACTGTCACTGCCAGACTCACTCAGCTGCAAGTCATTCCCTATGGAAGGAAAACACAGAACCACATCAAAACGACACAATTTAAAAACGACACTCGCCCCTCCCGACAGCAAAACCTTGTTCTTGGGTTGAGAAGCGTGGTGACCACGCTACAGCAAAACCTGGCCAATTCCATTAGGAAACCTACTTGGGTCCCTGACAGACCTGGAACAGTTGACGTTTCAAAAGAAATGCTCCTTCCCCACCCACCCCGGCTTTTTGGGTCACATCCAGCAATGCTCAGGGGTTACTCCTGGCAGTGCTTAGGGAACCATATGGGATGCCGGGGATTGAACCCGGGTCGGCCGTGTGCAAGGCAAATGCCCTATTTGCTGTACTATCTCTCCGGCCCCAAAAATGCTCCTTTTGATACACACAGAAAGAACACAGCCCAAGCTTCTTATGGGGCCAGGTTGAGGGGCAAGCAGATGAGACTGCAGGTCAGTTGCTAAGGAAAGACAAGTCACTGACTCGCTTTCCAGTGGAATAGTTTGCAGTAAGCTGTTCTGTGAAAACTGAAAGAACAGCAAGCGGGCTTCCGCCAGGAAGGCAGCCAGTGTGCTAGTCTCACCCTACCCCTCCCACCCCTCTTCAGACATTCACCTCACGCCTCAAATCTCAACCAATGAGTTTTCTGTCAAGTCATCAACTTTTGCTTAATGTGTGTGTTTTAAGAACAAAGACTAGATCCCTTCCCTTTGATTACAAAATACAACCTTCTGACAGGCTGGAGCACAGCGCAAAGAGGGTAGGGCATTTGCCTTGCATGCAGCTGACCCAGGTTCAATTCCAGGCATCCCGTATGGTCCCCTGAGCACCACCAGGAGGAATTCCTGAGTGCAGAGCCAGGAGTAACCCCTGCGCATTACTGGGTGTGACCCAAAAAGAAAAAAAAAAAAGCAACCTTCTGACTTCTAGGATGCTAGGTCTTTTCAAAGTTTGCTCGAAGGGTACAGGGGTGGTTCAGATTCTTTTGGGAGTGGCCAGTCCAAGGCCCCTCCTAACGACACCTGTTCAGTGCTAGATTTTCTTCCTAGGTTCCAACCTAAACAACTTTTGGCAGAAGTGGATGTGAGAATCCAGTGACTTCAAACAAACAAACAAGAATACACTAACTTTCCATTTAGTCAGACAGAAAGGATAAAAGCAGAGCTTTATCACCGTGCCATGCTCTACCCGATAAATCAGCGAGGTTGGCTTCCCCGTGACCTCGAAGGCTTCCCAACCCCCTCGAAGGACTCTGCACCAGGTGAGAACATTCATCAGGTTCCTGACACTCTCTCTGTCTCCAAAACACATTTCCCTTTGTTCTTTTCCTCTACTCTCCCATGTTGATAGCACCCTGAACACAATCTGCAATCTAACAGCCCCTTCCTTCCCCTTTTGCCAAACCGGAGCTGAACCCCAAACGTATTTGAACGGGCCGCTGGTCTATGGGCACTGACACAGCACAGCGCCTGGAGAACTCTGGGTGCCGGGGACCAGGAAGAACCCAGAAGGCAAGGGACGCTATGGTGCCAGGCAGGGCCCCTAGCGCCGGGCAGAAGCAAACACAGAAAGCTCTGCTGTGGACGCTTCAGCACTGTATCCAAGTTCTTCAAGCCAACGTGGCGCTGGGTATGACAGGAATAGGAAGGAGAAGAGGCTTTGAGCTTTATCCTTTCTCTTTGCACTACCTGAGGACTTCCTGCTTTGTGCTCAGACCTATCTCTGTTGTTGGGGGTCTTAGGGGCCACAGCCTGCAGGGCTCCTGGGTTACTCCTGCCAGGGAGTGGGGGAGCCCGTGGCAGGGAACAAACTCATGCTCCACCCGCAGCCCCGCGGCTGCAGCTGACGCGCTACCCTCTGTGCCATCCCTGCCCGTCAGTTTTCTCTGATGCTACGGAATAAGAAAGGCCAGAGTGGCCAGGTTCAGAGGGCACTCACGGAGGGTGTTCATGAGCTGGCTGCTTCCCTGGGGCCGGCTGGTCCCGTTGGCCACGTCCGGCCGGCCGCCGTAGGACTGCTGGTGTGAGGGCGGCAGCGGGGGCGGTGGGGAGGCGGGTCCGTGCTCCTCCCCGCCACTGCTGGAGCTGTCATCGTCATCGCTGCCCGAGGAGCTCTCAGAGTCTGAGGAGCTGCTGCCGCTGCTACTGCTCATCTGCTCGATGAGGTCGACCTCGGCCCTCAGCTCTGGGGGGGGGAACAAATGACAACGCAGGCTCAGCACAGCAGTGCACAGAGCGCTCCGGAGGACACACATCACGGGGTGCTGGCTGGGAAACACCCCTGCAGACCAGCGCCTACTTCCGAGTCCCCGCACGCTTCCAAGCAAAACTGCCCCAGACCGACAAACTCCAGAGAAAGAGAGTGGAATCTTAAATTCAACTACCGTAACCAGAAAGCAAACTGGTTCTGGCTAATGGATGATGGTGTTGGGATCATGACCCTCTGCTGGAAGGGAGTTGTCAATTTTGGCTGTATTTGCTTTAAATTAAAAAAAAAAAAAGTGAATTGATCTAACTCTAAATGCAAAGAAAAGTAAGAGGATATAGGGCTGAAAATCATCTGAGGAGGAACTAGAAGGATGAGTGCTTATTTTGGATCCTCTTCTACCCAGGGGAGAGACCTAGGGAGAAGTCGGTGAGTTTTCTCTGACGCTCTGGAATAAGAGAGGCCAGAGTGGCCGGCTGCAGAAGGCAAGTCATGGTAGCAGACTGGGAGGAGGAACCAGAGTAATGGGGGCAAAGTGGGAGAGTGACATTCTTCCTCCTCTTGTGCAACAGCCGACAGCACACTCACTGGGGACTGCGAAGCAGGGAAGGAGAAGCCCAAGCATTTCAGGGCCCCTGAAAACACTGATGAGAGCTGGGCGGCTCCTGGGAGCAAGCGGCTGCCTTTCCTGCTCCAGCTCCGTGTGGGTGTGGAAGCCCAAAATGGTCCTTCAAGGATCTCTGACAACCGCGAACTACTCAAGTCTCCTCAACCAGACGGAAAATGTCCAGAAAAAGCAAGGAAAATAAAAATAAGAGACTTAGCTAGATACTGTCCAGAGAAATTTTATAGGCACTTCTCTACCGGGGGGGGGGGGGGGGGGGGGGGGGGGGGGGGACGACGACGACGGGACGACGAACTTCCAAAGGACAGTATTTACAGATTTCCTGTTAGCACATGGGAGTCCCAGTGGTCCTTCTACCCTAGATACCATACCAGCCTTGGCACAACTGGTTTTCACCTCCCACGCCCGGAATTTAAATTGATACCCGGACTCAATAGTGTCAGCACGTATGGTTTAGAAGGAGAGACGGGAAAAATTTCCCCCAGAGCCTCAAACATGCTAGGTGGACTTTCAGGTGGCAGTCCCGGTGCTCTGAAGGCCTTGGAGCAGAAAGTTGCCAAGACAGGGGCCACCCAAGGCACTACTCTGGCTCTCTTCTTGTCAACTGAGATAAACGGCAGCCGCCACCTGCCTGATCTGGAGAGGTGAAGGCTGTTGATAGAGCAATATGGCACCGTGCGATCTCCACCCTTCTCCCCCCTACCCAACACCCTGCCCCCCCAATTCCAGGCTAGCATGACGCACCCCCACCCACCCACCCATTCCATGCTAGGCACACGTGCGTGCGTGCGCGTGCGCGCGCGCGCACACACACACACACACACACATCCTCATTCCAGGCTAGACACACAAACATACACACACCCCACTCCCACTCTCCCCCTCATTCCAGGCTAGCAGGGCTCCTGCAAAATGTTCTCTACCTCTTTTGATGTCATCCAGCTGAGGTTCAGGTGAGGGGTTATCTTTCAGTGGAGAAGTTTTGGGTCCAGTTGGAGGCTTCGTTGGGGCTCTGAAGGGCATAGGTGGGGGTGGTGGCGGCGGCGGCGGTGGAGGCGGCGGTGGTGGTGGCTGTGATGGCTGTGGAGGACGGGTGGGTTGCTGTTCCATCCGTGCTTGGATCTTACTGCTACCCTCCGCTCTGAAATAATATACAGACAATTAAGCTGGCGGGCAGAGAGTGGTTCATGGATTTGTCCAGGCGACTGAGCAGAAGCCCGGGCTCTTGCACATACTCCAAAAATACTGAGCTTGTATTTCATGACATGCACTACTTATTCAGCACGCACTAACTGCATTCTGGTTCTACCCATGCACCAGAGGCAGAGGAGGAAAATGGACCTGCTGCCCTCACAGAGTGTCCCAGCAAGAAGCAGAGCCAATAATACACGGACTGGGAAAAGCAATTAGAAACAGGAGCATCTTCTGACTGTAAGAAGACACAACCACTCAATGTGCATACAATATAAAGTTATAATCACAAATGTATTGAGTTATGACATGAAACTCGCTCTTGAACTACTGGCCGGTTTGCAGAGTTTTCTGTGACTGGTTCACTTCTCATTTTTTGTCACGGGCCAGTTAGTTCATGCTGCTAGATAAGCAAACGGCATTGTCCTAAACAGAAATTGCTACCCAGCAACTTCTTTCTTTTGAAAAGGGACCGGCCGGCACTTTTGGAATTTGAAACTGGCCATTTCAGGACACTGTGGGTTCGGACTTAGATCCGGAAGCTGCACTTTTTATAAGCATCCGAGAGAAACAAATGCTAGTATCCAGGAGAGCAGTAACGCAACAGCCCACACCCATTAGCTGCTGGAGGAGGAGGAGGTAATTAATCTTAACACATGGAGAGGGAAGAGAGACCCAGGGACTAGAAACAGGTCAACTGAATCAACAAGTGGACTGGCCAAGGAGGTGTCTACATTCGTAAAGAGGAAAACAATGAGACAAAACTGGGAGCCCGGTGTGGGAAGTATGAGTCCAGATGGAGTCACTACAACACCTTAGCATAGGGGCAGGAAAAGAGAGCAAGATCTGTAAAAGTGTACTGAGCCCAGAACTGCGCTTACATTCTTCTCTATTTTTCATGTCTGCAAAATGGGTCACGCGAACAAAAAAAAGGGTCAAACTCTGAAAACTCAAGGAGCTGACAACAGCCTTTTTTTTTTTCCTGGCCACTGTGCTTTGTACACCTTCTCTAGACAGAATATTTGTATTTTCCCAACAATTATTGGCACGAAGGAGAGGCAAGGGCCGTGGGGGTGGTGCAGCAGTGAGGCCTTGGGCTGATATTCTGAAGCACCACAGTGCTGGCAAGAACCAAGTCAGCAACGAACACTGGGAAGCAGCTGTGCAGGGGCCGACCCTGCTCTGGGGATGAATTGAGGCCAAAAATGTAATATGGAATGGCAGGGCACACCTGGCGGTGCTCAGGAGAGGCCTGTGACAGTGCTCAGGGGACATGAGGCACTGGGGGTTAGCACCTCCCCTCCTGCACCATCTTTCCCAGCCATACTTCGGCTTTTAAACCCCCAACAATAACTACCTTCCTAAACGTCATTTGTAAAGACCAGGTAATGCACACGGACATTAGTAGAGCCTGGCACAGGAGAACCTTGCTATATAGGGGGGCGGTTTTTATTTTTATTTTTCTCCTGGACTGAGTAAAGAAAAGGAAGTAGAAGCAAATAAACCCTAGCCTCTAACACTCTATAAAATTTAATTACAACATTTCAATCACTGCTCTATCACAATATAACAACAACAAAATGCTTGGTTATTTCTATCTGTAGAATGAATTTTGTCTTCCCAAATAAACTCTGACTGTGTATTAGGCCCTAATGAATAAAATAATTCAGGAGAACTTCCAAAACAGACAAAGCTTCAATTCGGTATTAAATGATGTCAAATGTATACTGTAAAAAAAGAAAAAAATCACCAAGTAATTTCTAGCAAAAAGTACTTCCATTATTCTTTCATTAACAACATCTACTATTTTTCCTTTAGGTAGTACTACAATGACAACTATATTGAGATCAACAAAACTGATGTATAAGACACATCTTTTCCCCAATAGCTTGTTCCGTACCATGATTTCTTTTCATACTTGTGGGAAACACAGGGACATGTCCGGAACGCTGGTGAGGACGGGGGGTGGACATCGGCCTCCTCAGATGCTCACAGGCTAACACAGAACTGAAAAGACAGATCCCAGGTACACACACACTTCCCTCTGGCCCACATACCGTGTTTTCTTGACCTGAATGCTGCTACTGAGTTTCTCCAGCACGTACTCCCCGGTGTCATGATTGATGATAAGCACACAGTCTTTCTGATAAGGCCTTTTGTTCCCCTTGAACACGGTCATTGGTGGCGTGGACCCCTACGCATGTCACATACACAAAATGATCATGTTAAAGTTAAACACACTGGCAATGACTAGCTAAACTGACTCTACAGATACCTTAAGAACGAAATGAATTAAATGCTACTTAACCCTCTGGTTTCTTGGGCTAAAATAAAGTAGAAATAATATAGCAAACATGCGTGATCTTGTAGTTATTTCTAAGTAATCCAAGAAGGTAGTATTTTTTTCTTTTCTTTCTTTTTTTTTTTTTGCTTTTTGGGTCATACCTGGTGATGCTCAGGGGTTACTCCTGGTGCTGCATTCAGTCCTGGCAGTGCTTGGGAGACCATATAGGATGCCAGGGATCGAACTCGGGTCAGCGTGTGCAAGGCAAACGCCCTACCCACTGTACTTTCGCTCCAACCCCATAATTTTCTTTAAAAAAAAAATCACTGTTTATCTTTCTAGAAGTACAACAAATATTTTAAGTAATGGGGAAGTGTGGGTCACAGAGATAGCCCACTGGGCAAGAGTGCATGTTTTGCAGGGAGGAGTCCCAGGTTCAATTCCTGACATGACGTGGTCCCTCAAGCACTGACTTGAGCAACTGCTAAGCCCTGAGCCAAATGTGGCCCTTAACCAAAAAATGGTAACGTGAAATGTGAATGAAGAAAAATCAATTAACCCGGCTTGTGTTCCTCCGCACCCAGCTCTCCCTGGGAGTGGCACACAGGTGAGTGAGGCCCATCTTTCGGTGTAATGGGAGAGTTCGGGCTTCCCTCTCAGGCCCAGTAACTGACAGCATCTCTAAGGCAGGTATTAGTGGGCAGCCCAGAATAAGCACACCAGGCCACTCCCCTGCTTGGCTTGAGGTGGAAGAATAAAATCTTGAAACCACACAGTTGGCCCGCCAGCCTTGCTAGCCCTGAGCTCAGTGCCCGCGGCAGGAGGCAGCTGGCCCTCCTTCCCATCCACTGGCCTAGTTTACAGGCGTTTACAAGCCTCGCCTCCAATAGGCGGCCCCTCCCTCTCTTCCAATTACTCAACCTTCAAATCTGCTGCTCAAAGGTCACTTCCTTAGGGGAGCCTTCCCTGATTTTTCTAAAAACAAGGGGCTGTGTTTTCTTATGTTCCTTTAAAATTTATGGTCCATGATGGCAAGAAGTGCAACTATTTTGTTCACGGCTGTCTCCTCTGCCTGACAACATGCACACTGTGTTCGCCAAATCCTCGGTTTGCGCAGAATTCAAAACTGCTTCTTCCTTGATTCCACATTCAGAGAGCAAAATCTGAAGACTTGAAAGGGGCCTTAGGGGCCATTTATCTAACCCCTTTTTATTATACTGGGGAAACTAGGGTCCAAAGGGAGATGATGTAAGCTGTCAAAGGCAATTAAAGAAATAGCAGTTTCAACCCAGACAAGTAAATTTTTCTGCGGGTGGATCTGCGGTTTGCCCGGGACACGGCGCTGAGCAGACCGTTCTATCACCGGGTCCCTAGAACTCGGGATGTACCAGGATAGACTAGGGCAGACAACAAAAAGGTCATTACAGAGCCTGCTCCTCTGTGTTTTGTAGCCAGAGTGCAACCTCGGGTAAGGGGACAGTGTCACCAAGTGTCTCTGCAAGGGTTTGCAACTCCGCTTTCCATGGGGTGGCTCAGCCCACCCCAGCCCTCAGCCAGTCCAAAGCGCTGTATCTCTAGTTACCAGGTGCAACTCTAAGGCACTCCTTGCCAGGCAGCATCGACAACTCCAGCCTGCCCATCCGGGGCTCTGAAGGCAGTCGGAAACAGCAGCAAGGCGCGTCGGAGGCCTCCTCTCTTCCCAGTCAGGGGCCTGTGGGAACTCCTTAGAGTTCCTACCTCTTTCCCGCTGGAGTTCAGGTGGCACCTTGTTTACTTCGCAGGAGCAAGGAGTTGAGGAGAGAAGGCACAGCATTTTCACCCAAGGACTCCCCCCAGTCTGAAATCCATCCTACCCCAGAATCTTAAGCCAGCCCTTCAGAATACAGAAACTATTTTAAAGACATTCAAATGGTAACAACAGAGACTGTATGGCTCCGTGCAATTTGACACTACTTTACTACTTTAAACAGGCAACACAGGAAGACTTACAGGGATATGTGGCAGTGTGATTGTTACTTCATCTCCTTTGCCAACCTGAAGCTCTCCTTCACAGGAAGTGTCAATAGATGCTGGCTTAAAGTCATCTAAGGGAAGAGAAAAAAGTATTTATGCACTTTACCCTACAGGTTTTCTGAACTTTGTCACTCTTAAGAACCAAACAAAAAGGTCTCCGGGCTGGAGCATAGTACAGCAGCCCGGGCACTTGCCTTGCACGTGGCTGATCCGGGTTCGATCCTCAGCATCCCATACGGTCCCCCAGCACTGCTAGAAATGATTTCTGAGCATACAGCCAGGAGCTACCCCTGAACACTGCCGGATGTGGCCCCCAAACAAAAAAAAAACACAGATTGCATAGCCAATACATGGAAAATTTTAATTAAAAAAAATTAAACAATGTCATTGTGGGCTGTGGGGATTGTTCAGTGGGTAGAGTGCTTACTTTTCATCAATAAGGTCTTGGATTTGAACCTCAGCACAGAAAACCATGCAAAAAAAAAAAGAAAACCCACCTAGAACAGTATAATGAGCCCCTGGTACTAATACCCAGCTTCAATAATGCCTTCACCCAGGTTCAATCTTGTTTCAAATCTACCTCCACATACTTTCCCTCAGTCTCCAGCTGATACTTTGTGTGTGTGTGTGTATATATACATATATGTGTATATATACATATATGTGTATATATATATATATATATATTTTGAGGGGGTGTGCTACATTGGCAATTCTCAGGTTGACTTCTGGTTGTGCACTCTGGGCTCTCTTGGAGGACTCAGGAAACTATATGTGGTGCCAGGGAAAGAATCCACATCTGCCATATGCAAGGCCAAGTGCCCTACCAGTTGTACAATCCCTCTGGCCCCACCCAGCTGGATTATTTTAAAGGGACAATGGTTGGGGGAGGTGGAGGGGTGGGAGAGGGATGGGGGCTCACCTTTAGAGCCCAGATCTTCTTTCTCAAATGACCAATGAAAACCAATGCCTTGAGGTCCTAACACATTTTTTTTTTGGGCTTTCTGGATCACACCCAGGGATGCTCAGGGGTTCCTCCTGGCTCTGAGCTCAGGAATTACTCCTGCTGGTGCTGGGGGGGAAGGGGGGGGGGGGAACGGGACCATATGGGATGCTGGGAATCGAACTCGGGTCAGCCGGGTGCAAGGCAAACACCCTGCCCACTGTGCTATAATCGCTCCAGCCCCAAGAGCCTAACAGTTTTATAAGAGAGTTATGGGGATCTAAAGCACGTTAACAGCGCCCATTAAAAAAAAAAAAAAAAGACTTGTGATTGTAAAACTCCAGAAAGACCAGAGTGGCTCTCCCTTTGCACAGGGACTCCACCTGCAATTTGAGGCACAGCTATGCTCCAATTCCAGCGCTTTATGGCAGAGGTCCCCCCTGAACCCGGCGTTCGCAGCAGGAAGGTGGAGGAGTTATCTCTGCAAACGCAGCCCTGCTCCGGTTCCCCACGGGGCGGCCCGTCCCTCCACTTTATCACACGCCTGCTGCTCCGTGGGGTGGGGATGGGTGGGTGGGGGGCCGGAGCAAAGGGTCTCCTTCCAGCGTGCACGTCGGGGTGGGGGGGGGGAAGGCCCACCCCCCCACCCTCCCCCCAGGGGCTCGGCCACACTCCCAGCATCCTCTCCCGCAGAGCGGGTGGGGAGGGCGGAGGAATGGCACGCTGGCGCGGGCAGGGCGAGTGACCACACGGCGATGGCCCCTCATTACGGAACACACCCTCCGCCACTGGCGTTGAGTCACACGGAGGCTCAGCGAAAACAAGTCTTCACCGGCCCCGGGAGCCCCGAGCCGGGAAATGACGACGGTCGGGTGAATCAGGGGGCAGCGCGGCCAGCCCGCGTGCCGAACCCCCCTGGGACCACCCCCCCACCCCGGGGGGGTCTAGAATAATCAACCACCGGGCCAGGGCGGTCCCACGAGAGCCACCCTCACCCCCACGCCACCGGCATCCCGGCCGCCCGCGCCCCTGGGTGGCTCATCCTAGGGTCCAGCTCGTTTTTTTCCAGCCCCCCATACCCCTACCCAACTGCACTTGAACTCGATTCCAGCAGCGACAGCCGGGCAGGGGCGGGGACGGCCAGGAGGGCACCTCGGAGGCGGTGCAGCAAGCAGGACAAGACAGAGAGGGGGGTGTGTGCGTGGAGGGGGTTGGGGCGGGTTCAAGGGATCCGGGGAGGTGACGGGGGGGGGGGGGGACGCGGAGGATCCGGGACCCCCGGGTCGGAGCTCAGACAGGACCGGGCTCGCGCGAGGTCCAGCAGAGACGGCGGCGCTGAGCAAACCAGAACCGTCTTCCACGGAGGAGGAGAAGCCCCTTAGGGCAGAAGCGGGGCAGAAAGTGGGGGGGGGGGGGGAGTGGTATGGGTGGGTAGGAGGGCTCAGCGGCTGTGCAGGTGGGAGGAGGAAGAGAAGAGGGCTCCGGAGTTTCCCAAGCAGCATCTGGGACCACGAGGCAGAGTTGGCAGAGACGAGGGTCTGCGGGGGGTGCAAACCGCGGCGTGGGGGAGTCGGGGGAGAAAGCTGAAGTCCCGGCGGAGCTGGGGTGGGGGTGGGGGGGAACGGGGGGTCCCGGGCGGGGAAGTGGGGGGTGGGGGGGCAGCGGCGGGAGCGCGCACTCACAGCGAATGGTGTGGAAGGAGGTGCGCGGCCGCTTCTCGAAGCTCTCCCCGAGCCGCAGGCAGTGCTCCTCGCGGTCCAGCAGCGGGTTGGCCGTCCCGTTCATGGCCCCGCGCGACGGCGCCGGCGTCCCGGAGCACCAGGCTCCCGGAGGCCCACCACCGCTCCGGAGCACACGGGGGCGGGGAGGACTGCCCAGCCGGCGCCCTAGCCGGGACCGGAAGCCAGTGCTCGCGGCCGCGGGGTGCGGGGAACCGCGGGGGGGAAGGAAGGGGGGGGAGAAGAAGCTCGGCCGCGCGACTTCCGGCGTGGGGGCGGGGCTTCTGGGAGTGTGGCGGAAGTGGTGGGGGGCGGTGTCGCAGCCAAACCATTCCGCCCCCTCCAGCCTCGCTTCCGGGTGCTCCGGTGTTCTGGTGGCGGCAGCGGCGGACGCGGCCCGGTTCCGTTGCCACGGCATGAACCCGGCTAAGGGATGAGTGCGGTGGGCTCTGTCCCGCAAGGTGAGACCAGGAAGGGGAACCCACGACGATGAGCCTGGAGTGCGGCGGGTCGTTGAATGCATGTAGGTCATAGAGTCCCCTGGGTCCTTCCGCCGAGCGTCTCTACTGGGTCTCTTGCTCGGTCCTTGGAAAGCGAAGCCCCCTCTGGTTCGTGTGACCACGACCACCCTTCATGTGTGCCCTCAGAGACGGGCATCGTCTCCCCGGAAGAGTCTCCAACCCTTGGGGACCGGTGACCCCACTGTTCATACATCTCCCACTTCCCAGTTGGGGCACCTGTGGTGGTGGTGTTTTTTTTTTTTATTTAAAGTTCTATTTTTTTTTGCTCGAGCGGGCCCAGTAACGTCTCCATCGTTAGACTTGTTGTTACTGTGTTTGGCATGTCGAATACGTCATGGGTAGCTTGCCAGGCTCTGCGGTGCGGGCGAGATACTCTCGGTGGCTTGCCGGGCTCTCCGAGAGGGGCGGAGGAATCGAACTCTGGTCGGCCATGTTGGCTGCGTGCAAGGCAAACGCCCTACTGCTATGCTATCGTTCATATATATAAAGTTGTTCATAGTAATTTATTACATTTGATATTCCAGCAACCAATCCCACCACCATTACACCTTCCCACTACCATTATTTTGAATTTTCCCAACCACCACCCAGGCCAGTCCTAAATAATTTATTTTGTATGGCATATTTTGAATAATTCACTAAAAATGATCAGAAGAGGTTTCTTTAGAAGAAAGTGTGTGACTATTGTTATATCTCATCCTGGAGCCATTTAGGCCTTGTGTACGAGATTATTAATGTGTTGTTGCAGGTTGAACCTTGTGTGCTGGTATTTTTTTTTAATCAAGATTAGTTGCCTTCTACATTACATCCCATTCAATGTGGTATGCTACTCCTGGTACAGCAGTGGTGTAGAGTATGAGATGTCTTGCTCCAGGAATTCTAAACTTTTGAATGGGGTGTCACAGCTGGAGTTATTTTAATTAATTTATTTATTTATAAATAAAAAAAATCCAGCATTCAGGTGTTACACCCACCAACTGCCTCGTGTGCCGTGTATTCCCATCAACGGCTAAGACCCAGAGACTATAAAACCCAGCTCCTGGAAGTGCGGCCGCTTTTGTGGCCGCACAACGTCTTATTATCTAGTTCTTACTCTGGAGAACCTGGCAGGTTACCGAAAGTATCCTGCCCGCACAGCAGAGTCTGGCAAACTCCCCATGGCATATTCAATATGCCAAAAACCAGTAACAATGATGGGACTCATTCTCCTGACCCTGAAAGAGCCTCGAATGTGGCACTTTCTAAAATCTCAGGGCTAGGATAAAGGAACCGTTACTGGTGCCTGCTCCAAGAAATTGATGAGCAACCGGATGACAGTGATACAGTGATTTTTTTTTTTCGTGTAGGGGTACTGCTATTTATGCAGGCACTGATTAAGCTGATTGAAGTTGGCATGAACTCCAGTGGAGTTAAATTTTTAACTGGATGGTGACTTTGGAATCTGGAGGCATCTTTGCAGCTTGTTGATCTCTTCTGAGATTAAATTCGTGAATCTCTGGATCATGGCCGGTTAATGAATTTATATGGTGCCACAGGCAGTTTATGGGTGTGACTGCCAGCCTCCCGGAAGAACAGGGAGTTGGGGAAGAGGGGACTGCCCATTCAACTCCATGAGAGCCTGGGAGATTTGGGTCACAAAACCTGCATACCTGAGTTTTCCGACAGATTCATTCTCATGGATGAGGCTCATCCAGAGTCTGTGGAGATCCGCAGTGAGCACGGTGGTGATTGGATTCTGGAGGTTTTCGGGTTCTGTTTGGGTGGGTAGTGGGCTCACCTGCCCCTCCTCCCCCTCCAGGGTGCCTCAGATGAGACTCAGCTGGGCTCTGGGTCTGGTGGCATCTCTGCAGCTTGATGATCTGTTCTGAGATTTATGTGAGTCTCTGGATCATGGCTGGTTAATGGTGGTGATTTTTAAGTCAGGCCATTTGAAGAGGGGGACTGGAAGTGACCTAAGGACAGAGAGACAGGGGTCTTGGGCATTTGGGTGATGGTGAAGGTGCAGTGACTTTGTACATGAAAACCAGACATGTTAACACTGTTGTAACCACGTTACCTACACTGCGACAAGAAATAAAATTAAGTCAAATCGCCCTTTTACCCAGCACCGAAAATTAACATATTTGTAAAATGGCACAGGGTCTCCTGGCCATTTTGGGGAGTGTCTTTTTTCTAAGCATATAAACCGATTTATTGCGATCACGATTATGATCATCCTATTGTTCATTGATTGCCTCAAGCAGGCACCAGTAATGTCTCCTTCGTCCTAGCCCTGAGATATGCCATATTCACGGCTCTTTCAGGGTTAGGAGAATGAGACCCATCATTGTTACTGGTATTTGGCATATTGGGTATGCCATGGGGAGTTTGCCAGACTCTGCCTGTGGGCAGGTTACATTTGGTAGCCTGCCAGGTTGTCCAAAATAAGAATGAGATAATAAGATGTCCGGGAGCTGGATTTTATAGTCTCTGGGTCTTGGCCGTTGATGGGATTACACTGTGCCAGGGGCAGTTGGTGGATGTGACCCCTGCCTACTGGAAGATGGAGGATCTGGGTGGAGGATGCTCAGCCCCTATCCGAGCAGGCTTGGAGATCTCAGCCCCGGGACCCGCATGCCTTTGTTCCTCTGCATGCATGTGGAGAGTGGTCTCAGCATGGTTGTGGTTGGTTCTGGAGGTCTTTGGCTGCTGGAGCTCTGCTCGGGGTGGGGACGGAAACTCAACCCGCCCTCCTCCAAGGAGCGAGGACAGCCAGGCGCGGGGGCAGGGGACTCTGTGCTGTTCTCTCAGACTTTGGGGCCTGAAAGCCCTGTCCCCTTTTGTAAACCCACCCAAGGGAGGGACTCCTTTGGGTGGGCTTTGTGACCTCTTTGTTAGTGGGCGGGGTGAAGCCAAAGCCTCTCCAGTGATGAACAAGAACTCTTCTACCCAGGGTATTCTAGAACTGTCCTAGAATCACTAACAGGAATCTCACTCTCTTTCCTGCAAAGCACCAGGTGCCACATCAGCTGTACACCAACCCAGCTAAGAACTACCTCCAAGAACACACTGTCCGCTCTCAGATTGGGTTCCTTAGTTATGCATCTTCAGTGGTGTTGAATGACTTACCATCACATTGTAAGATGGTTTCTCTGCAAAGGAAAGAGCTGCAGGCACGGATTCTCAGCTCAGAAGAAGAGGAGAAACTGAAAAGAGACCAGATCGTAATATCTGATTTTAAACAGCAAAAGTTGGAGAAAGAGGCGCAGAAGAATTGGGATCTTTTTTACAAGAGAAATAGTACTAATTTTTTCAAAGATCGACACTGGACCACCAGAGAGTTTGAGGAGCTAAGATCGTGTAGGGAGGTAAGCTCATGATGCATCTCAATCAAGAGCTTCATCCTCTAAACCGTGAAAAGAGGGGTGCTTTCATGAATTCCCAAGGAGAGTGTGGAGAGTTTAGGAAACCCATAAAATTGTATCTTAGAAATAAACTGGTTTCAGGGTAGAGAGTACAAAGATAAAGGCACTTTCCTTGCATGCTGCCAATCCCCAAATCAGTTTGCTCCCCGGGGCACCACCATAGGTGACATCTGAGCACCACCAAGTGTGGCCCCAAAATTAAGGACAAAAAGAAAGTGATTTCAAGTACTTTTAGCAGTTCCTTGATTGCACAGTCTAGTGGGCATTTACTCTTTCTTTAAAGGTCATCTGTAAATCATCTGTCATCTGTTAGTTTCATTTATAGTAACAGTGATAAGCACCTTCCCATGGCCCTTTTCTAGAATTTGACACTAATGCTACAATTTAATCCTTCCAATAATATTGTGAAAGGGCTGGAGAGATAGCACAGTGGGTAGGGCGTTTGCCTTGCACGCGACCGGCCCGCGTTTGATTCCCAGCATCCCATATGGTCCCCTGAGCACCGCCAAGAGTAATTCCTGGATGCAGAGGCAGGAGTGACCCCTGTGAATCGCCGGGTGTGACCCAAAAAGGAAAAAAAAACCAATAATATTGTGAAGCAGGCTTTGTATGAGCCCCACTTGCAGATGATACAAATGCAAGGCTGTTGAAGTGGTTTGCCCCAGGACAGGACCAGGCGAGGAGAGGGTTCTGCAAGGGTTTTGCTGCAGATACAGTTCTCTTTTCTGTTTTCTCCACATGCAGCTTTCCAGCTGGTGACTGATACATGAGCTATCAACATTAGCTTGTATATTGTAGCGTTCATATTCTGGACCTTTTTGTTTGTTTGGTTTCTTCACATACAAGTGTATACTTTGAATTCTCTTTGTTCAGTTTGCAGATCAAAAGTTGATTATACTTGAAGCTGGCTGTGGTGTTGGTAATTGTTTATTCCCTCTTTTGGAAGAAGATCCCAATATCTTTGCCTATGCCTGTGATTTTTCTCCAAGAGCAGTAGAGTATGTCAAGGTTGGTGCCCACCCCTGTATTCTGTTCTGTTTCAGTTGTTTTTGTATTTATTAGACATGTTTCATCTGACCACCAAACCCACCTGACCTTTTCCTCTTCATGAACTTAAGTAATGATGGTCACTTGGAGAGTAGTTTTCTTGTTACGTACGTAAGATATTTAGAAACAGGTGGCCTGGAGTGATAGTGTGTACAGTTGGTAAGGCACTCGCCTTGCACCCTGGGAACCCCTTTTAGATATGTAGTCCCCCAACATCCACCAGGAGTAAGTCTTGTTATTTCTTGAAATCATTTCTAAATTTTGATCTAATAAATAGGGTTAATGTCATAAACATTGTACACGTGCTCTCCAGAATTTGTGTATGCTTTTCTGTATGATAAATAATGGAAGAAGTAGAATTTCTTGGTGAAAGAGCATGCATAGTTAAATTTTCTTAATGCCATTTCCTTCTAAGAGAAAAGCCATTCCACATTTGGTATTGGGCATTTTAGTTTTCCCCCAGCCTATGGACAAAAAACAAAAAAAGGAGAAAAGAAAAGGAAAAAACAAAGCCTTCCAGGTCTTGTTTATCTTATTTCTTTTATCCAGTAAGATTAAGGTCACTGTAATACGAAGATAAGCATGTTTTTCTCCTAGTTATGACTTGCTTTATTCTGTACGTGTGTATATGCATACACACACATAGACGTCTGTAGAAAGAGCCTACTGTGTGCCAGGCATTCCAAGCTCTAGGGTGGAAGGGGGAAGAGAATAGACAAGTCTCCATGCACGCAGACTTTATTGTCATAGGAATTATCTGTTCAACCCATTTTCCCTGTCGTTTCTCTTGCCTTAGTAAGATATGGTCTAGGCATTCTATTTGTTTCAAACATTTTTTCTAGTTAACTCAACATTGTTTTATGGTCTTTTATGACAGGGTTTAAGTTTGGCCAGTTTATTGATTTTTGCCATATTGTGGGTTTTGTCCTGTATAACTGTTTTCTCTTTGCCTTTTCTGTCTGTGTACTTCTTGTTGTAGGTTACCAACTTCTCCCTAGTCAGTAAACATTTATCCCAATGAGCCTCTTAAAAGCATTCTTCATTTTATTTTTTGGTTTTTGGGCCACCCCCAGCTACGCTCTGGGCTGACTCCTGGTTCTGTGCTCAGGGATCACTCCTGGAGGGCTTGAGGGACCCTATGGGGTGCCAGGAATTGGAGCTGGGTCTGCTGCGTGCAAGGCAAACACCCTGCCTGCTGTACTATCGTTCCGGCCCTACATTCTTCATTTGTTATTAATTTCTTCTTTTTGGCATTTCCAGGTGAGTCTGGACATTACCTGTCCGACCTCACTTATCTACCCTGATTACATATTGTTCCTGCAAATGTCCTGACTTTTAGTCCCAGCCCAGGTATCACCTCTGAATCTGGCCCCGATGATTGCTTTGTCTCTTCACAGTTGGCTTTTTCTTGCCTTTGGGTATGCCTTATGCGTTTCTGAGCATGGCTCTGTTACATAGGGCCTGTCAGTACACGTTGAAGATCACTGAGGCAATGAGTGTAATAATCTGGCCGGGAGGTTGTCATGGTTACCTGTGAGCTTGGTCATCACTCTGTGTGCCAGAGGCATGGACTCCTCCTCCAGTGACTATTTTTCTCTCTCCACTTGGCTTTGGCTCTTCCCTTTGTGCTTTTGTATCACCCTCCCAGTTGCAGTTCATTTTTTATGGGAGGGGATTATTTTCTAAAATTCTGAATTTTGAGGGTGGAGCCATAGAATAGCTTTGCCTTGCACCCGATGGACCTGTGTCCTATCCCCAGCATCTCTTACAGACTCCCAAGCACTGCCAGGAGTAATTCCTGAGCCCAGAGCCACGAGTAAGTCCTATGCACCACCGGATATGGCCCCCAAACAAAAATAATAAAATAAAAATATGAATTTTAAGTAGTTTTTGGTCTGCGGGTTTTGGACTTTGTTTTGCCAGTGTGTCCGACTCACTGTACTATTACTGTGGCTCAGTTTGTTTTTGTTTTGTTTTGTTTTTAAATAGGGATCATTCCAGGCAGTGTTCAGGCCCCCTGGTACTTGGGCCTGTCTGGTACTCGGGACCATCAGGGCCTTCCCTCTCAGTGCTCAGGTTGCTTTTTAGGTCTGCATAGCTGGGCCTATGTCTCAGGGATTAAGTCTGTACTGGTCTGTTTGCCACTCCAGGAAGGGCAGTTCCTCTCCTATTCTTTCCCTAGCTAGAGAAGGAGTAAGAAACCGGTCTCTTCCTCCTAAGCCCTGTGGCCATTCTCCCAAAGGTTCTTAGGTTCCTTACAGGGATGAGAGTGGCCAGCTCCAGCCTGGGCACCTCCTTCCTGAGAGCTCGGGGATTCTGCCAGGAACACCGGTGAGAGGATGAGGACCCTCAGATCTGGGTCCCTGGGCCACCTGCACACGGCCCCACTCATATGGCCCCTGAGGGCCCGCCAGCTTTCTGTTCTCTTCCCTCAGCCTCAGAAAAGCAGATGTCTTGGTCCCGTTTCTCCCAGAATTTGAGATGACTGTTCTTTGATTTCTGTTTTCTGTTGGGCTCACAAAAGAAGTTCTTCTGTACTGTTTCTCCCAGAATTTGAGATGACTTTTCTTTGATTTCTGTTTTCTGTTGGGCTCACAAAAGAAGTTCTTCTGTACCGTTTGTCCAGTTTTTTTTTCCTTGTTGAAAGGATGGGAACATCTTTCCATACCGTCTTTTCATCTGAGCTGAACCCAGACGTCTTTTCATTATGCATTGGCCGCTTGTCCTGCATTACCATGAATGAAGTGAGTGTTCCAACACAGTAAATCGAGAAATTAATTTTTCTTCCATTACAATAGTCCAGGCTGGAGTGATAGCACAGCAGGTAGGGTGTTTACCTTGCACGCGGCTAGCCTGGGTTCGATTCCTCTGTCCCTCTCGGAGAGCCCAGCTAGCTACCGAGAGTATTCCACCCACACAGCAGAGCCTGCCAAGCTCCCCGTGGCATATTTGATATGCCAAAGACAGTAACAACAAGTCTCACAATGGAGACGTTACTGGTGCCTGCTTGAACAAATCAATGAACAATGGGAGGACAGTGCCACAGTGCTACAATTGTAACTTTATTTTTTACTTTTTTTAATCTACCTTTATTATTTCATCTGTATCACTCTTGTCCTGTATAATTCTGGGATCTTTTATATGCCCAGGTCTATTTGGGCTTCTATTCAGTCTCAGTGATTTGTTTGTCCTTATTCTCATATTCTCAAGCCGCATTATTTTAATACTTCATTCTGTGATTTGTTTTTATGTCTAGTAGTAAACCGCCTTCATTGGTTTTTAATTATCTATAAATATTTCTACTGTGAAATGAATTAGAGTCATCTTGTCAAATTTTGGGCGAGAGCGATAGCACAGCAGGTAGGGCATTTGCTTTGCATGTGGCCGACACGGCCAACCCCAGTTCAATTTCTCTGCCCCTCTCGGAGAGCCCAGAAAGCTATTGAGAGTATCACACCCGCATGGCAAAGCCTGGCAACCTACCCATGATGTATTCGATATGCCAAACACAGTAACAAGTCTCACAATGTTACTGGTCCTGCTCTAGAACATTGATGAACAACGTGAGGACAGTGACAGTGTCAAATTTGAGAAATCTGTTGTGATTTGGTTGAGATTCCACTGGATTTACAAGTGAAATCTTGGGAAAATTGACATCTTTTTAATATTGTCTCTTCCCATCCATTAAACTTCCTATTTACATGGAAGAGCATTTTACTTTTTTTTTTTCCGATGGAGCTGGAATGGTAGCACAGCGGTAGGGTGTTTTCCTTGTATGCAGCTGACCCGGCTGACCATAGTTCAATTCCTCCGCCCCTCTCGGAGAGCCCCGCAAGCTACCGAGAGTATCTCGCCCGCACGGCAAAACCTGGCAAGCTCCCTGTGACGTATTCGATATGCCAAACACAGTAACAAGTCTCACAATAGAGACGTTACTGGGCCCGCTCGAGCAAATCAATGAACAACGGGAGGACAGTGCTACAGTGCTTTTTTTCCATGACACTCTTATACTTGGTCCAGCCCCATCAACCAGAATGGACCACATACCTAGTCTTATGTAGCTTGCTGTATTGGTGTGGGATACACACTCCAGAACTCTGTGGCCCTCCTAATAAGGGCTGCTGAAAGATCTTCTCGTGGGATTTAGGTTGGTAGTGGGAGAGTCAAAGGAGGATTGAGTAAGCTAGGCTGGATCTGGGTTATCATCACTCTGGGAACAAGTGCTTCTCTCACATGTTTAGTTTTGAATGTGTGATGACCTTGTTCTCTCATCAGTTGGAATAATTTATTAAAGGCCAGAGCAATAGCTCAGTGAGATAGAGCATGTGATTTGAATCCTGTTAAGCTCCTGGCACCTCAGGAACCCCCAAGTACCACCAGGAGGCAACCCCTGAGCATGGAGCTGGGAGTAGCCTCTGTATATCACCAGCATGGCCCAAGACATACACACACACACACACACACACACACACACACACACACACACTCACCGGTTAAAATGAAATAGACTTGCTCCTCCTGGCAATATTGGACATTACCTCCCTCAACAACCGGTTCATTTCTCACTTTCCCTAGGAATGAAGTGTTGGTTCCCTTCTCTGCTGCAGAGTGCAGGTGGAAATCGCATCTCCCTGTGCTGCCGTGTTTTACTCTTTGTGTCAGTATGGAAGCTGAGTTCAGATTCTTTCGTGGTTTCCCCTTCTGTAGCAGAATCCTCTCTACAGCACCGAAAGATGCAGGGCATTCCACTGTGACCTGACGAAAGACGACCTTCTGGAGCACGTCCCCCCGGATTCAGTGGATGTGGTTACGCTGATATTTGTGCTCTCAGCTGTGCACCCAGAGAAGATGCCCCGTGTCTTACAGAACATTTACAAGGTCAGTGATGGAGCCTGTGCGTGAAAGCTGAGCTTCCTAGTTTTGCTTCTCTTCCCTCCAGCCACCTCATTGGGCTGTGTCGGTTCTCTGGCATCCAATAACCATGTCAGTTCTGATGTGTGTGGTGGCCTCCACCACTCTTCAGAGTGTGACCAGAGTGTCCACTGTCACCGAGTCTTTGGGGCTGCTGCACACTCCTGGCTCAGGAGCACTGCCAGGAGGGACAGTGTCTGCTGGCCAGGCCACCTTCCCACATGGCCCAGAGCCTGGCCCTTGAGCCTGTTCTGTTCCTTGTAATGTGCTGAGATGCTGGTCCTCAAAGTATTGCCACACTGCTTTCAGTTTTCTGCTTATTTCTTCCCTTCCCCCAGGGATGAGGGCTGACGAGGAACTTTGTGGACTGCCAGTTGGGTAAAGAGGAAAGTGTGAGGTAAAGGAGTAAAGATTCTGATTTGACAGTCCAGATGAGGGTGAAGGATTATTCCAAAGGGGATTGGTGTTGAAAAGATAGGATGGCAGAGAGTGATTTGTGATGAGTGACTTGTAGTAGGTGTTAAGGAGGTGTTAGAAGTTCCCAAGGAGGGAGTCATTTAGGTGGAGGGAAAGATCTTCAGAAGAGAGAAACTCAACTCTTGAAGAAGTCAGTGTATTTGGAAGGATAAGCAATCCGTGTCCAGTGACCTGCCCCAAATTGAGAATGGCTTAATGAGGAAAAGAGGAAACCGAAAGGTCCTTCACTTTGAAATGTCGGGAAATGACCGTGGAACTAAGAGGGGATGGCAGGAAAGGGATAGTGGTGATGTGACCTGTAGATCAGAGGTTCAGAGTCGGAGAATTAAGGGAGGAGCGAGGAGAATGCTGGAAAGGAGAAGTGAGGAACCAGGAGCTCAGCTCTAAGCGTGGTGATGCCGGGCAGTTAGAGAAAAGAGTTGAAATCTCAAGTTCCAGGGAAAGTGTCCTCAGGGACTGTCTGGTATCTGTTAGCACTGGTGGGTGACAGGGACATTCAGAAAAGGCTGTGGACACCCAGCATGTCACTGATGGAGTGTTCTGGCCCTTCGGGACTCTTGGGAACTTTGGAGATCGGGTTGCTCACTCTCGATACCTGAGTTTCACATTAGCCACAGTCCTCTGAGTTAGCACAGAAAGACAAGAAAGGAAATAGAAGATTTTGTTTCTTTTGGAAATAGAAGATTTAAAGGTGAGGGGGAAAAAAAAGCTTGAAAAAGTGGCCGGATTTAAAACTGAGATATCAAAGTGTAATACAATGGGACTTTAAAAAGGAAATGTTTTAAACAGCACCAGTGGAATGTCTTAGAAAATTTCAAGGATATGTGTGCAGGCTGAGGAGCAAGATCCCTGGGTTGGCTGAGCTCAGATTTTTATACAGAGCCCCAGTTTGCACCCTGGCACTGCAGAGACTCCTGAGCACTGCCCGGTGTGACCCAAAAGCCAGGTCCCGACCTCTATGGACATTTGCTCTATGACCCAGGTGACATTGCGGGTCACTGAGAAGAGTTTTCGGAGGGGATGGGGACCACTAATCCCTGTGGGAGAAGAAGAGATCGTGTCGATGCTTCACATCCTGTGCAGAAGTTGTTCTCTGGTGAATGACTTCTCTGGAAAGGTAAAAGTAGAATCTGCAGGAGAAAATCTCAATAACTTGAGAGTGGGGAACATTTTCTCAAAGACGACACTTCCTCAAAGTGTCCTAAGCATAAAGATGTCAATCTTTATGGACCAAGAGTTTCTCTTCTTCAAAAGATGATATAGAACATTTTTTTTAATGGGAGCAGAAGAAGAGGAAGCCTAGTGGACACCTAGAAGGACATGGACACATGGGGAGTCTCAGGCATGGGAACACAGTGATATGGTAACTGTCAAAACCATAGTGTCAACACGTTTATTCACCTGTGATCTAACTACAGGAGTTTTAAAAAGTTTAAAGGTGAATTTGAACAAAAGTAATTTAAAATCTTTACAACTCAGGGACTGGAGAGATAGTGCAGGGGTTAAGGTACTTGCCTTGCATGTGGCCGACCCCATTTCTGTCTCCGATACCACATAGGGTCCCCTGCATGCTGCCAGGAGTAAGCCCAGAGCACCATCAGGTATGGCACCCCAAACCAAAAAATCTTTACAACCGACAAAATGTCAATACCCAAGATATATAAGGAATTCCTCTGTGTCAATAAGAAAGAGAAATGAATGAAAAACAGACACAAATAGTCAAAATATAGAAGTGAACACATAAAATGAACACATGACTATTGATGTTATTAGAAAAAACTCATTAATCTGAGAAATGTAAAATAAAACTATAATGAGATATCATTTGACTGAAAAATTAAGTCTGACATAGCCAGGTATTTATGAGGATATACCTATTTTTCATCTACATGGAAATTAGAATATATTGTCTACTGTTGTTCTCATATATAAATAAATGCATACCTAGGTATAGGATGTTATACTAAAGAAGTGAAAACCTTGGTCCACTGTCCTCATCCATACGGGGCTTCGTCTGACCTTCCTTTTGAAACACATTCCCTATCAGTGATGCTTTTGGAAAAGAAATATAGGGGCTACATTCCTAAGTGCTGGGAGAGGGTCCCACTCCCAGTGACGTCCAGTTTGGTTGGGTGACCTGCAACCAGGGTGGCAGCTGGTGGTATTTGGGGGTACCTGCAGTGCCGGGAATTGGCCCAGCCCTAGCATCACCCCATGCCCAAGCTTTCCTCTTTGAACACTGCAGTAGGATTACCTTTTCTCAGAGGGACCGGTTTGGTCATTTGAATCCTTTGTCAGGACATGACCAGAGCAGTGAGACACCGTCAGGTAACCCTGGCTGCCTTGCTCGAACCATCACGGCACTTAGCTGCAGTTGGTGTAGTTACTTCAGGATGGTGCAGAGATTCAAAGGCCACAGAATGTTAGGCCAAAGGGCGGCCTTCAGGTTGAATGCCCTCACTAGTTTTGGAAAAAAACAGCAAAATGAAGAAACCAGTTTCACAATCATGATCACAATCATCCTGTTGTTCGTTGATTGCCTCGAGCAGGTACCAGTAACGTCTCCTTTGCCCTAGCCCTGAGATTTTTAAAAGTTCCATATTCAAGGCTCTTTCAGGGTTAGAAGAATGAGACCCATCATTATTACTGGTATTTGGCATATTGGGTACACCACGGGGAGTTTGCCAGACTCTGCTGTGTGGGCAGGTTACATTCAGTAGCCTGCCAGGTTGTCCAAAGTAAGAATGAGATAATAAGATGTTGCGCAGCCGCGAATGCGGCCACGCACTTCCGGGAGCTGGGTTTTATAGTCTGTGGGTCTTGGCCATTGATGGGATTACACAGCGGGGGGTGCGGGGGGCCAGTTGGTGGGGTGACCCCTGCCTACTGGAAGATGGAGGATCTGAGTTGAGAAACCAGTTTATCCCCAGAAATTCTGGACGTCAGGCCCCAGAACTGAGCCCACTGTCTGTAAAGTGAGTGTAAGACACCTAATCCCCACCCCTCCAGTGAGGAACGTGCCCCAGAGAAATGTCTGCTAACTGCATCATGCCCTAGTCCCAGGAGGCATGCTGGTGTTGCAATGGTTACTTTACAGATGGGAAGGTGAACTTATTTACTCCACTAGTTAATGGAAGAAGCAGGATTGAGTCTGCGCGGGCTCTCTGCTGGCCATCAGTGAAAACTAAGCTTCACCCCCAGGGTCTCGAGTCCCCCATTCCCCACTATTCCCTCTTAAAACTAAGTGTTTCTGCTCAAGATCGGAATGCTTTCTCCAGCAGACTCTGCTGACAGTAGTTGCAAGGTACCTGAAGCTTGCCAATTGGGAAACACATCTCAAACTGGGAAGTATTGGGAATTACCTTTCAGAGTCTGCTCAGGATGAGGAGGAGCCTAACACCCAAAATCTATGCAACATCTAGCATGTGTCTTAAGTGTTTCTGACGTGATGATCAGAATAAGATTGACCAGACTGATAGAACGCGTGCATCCTTCGGGGTCCCCTCCAACTCAGGAGAGTGGTGGGTTGAAAGCATTTCCACACAAAAAGCAGGAAGATTTCTTTCACTGGTTTTGTCCTGCAAAATTGCTCATACAACTACTCTGCTTTGCACAGCGGGGTCGGTTAGCCCCCATCCTGCTGGTCTTGAGACATCTCTGTGAATGGTAGTTCTGAATGGCTTTCTACGTGGGGCTCCCCTGGGCCTCCCCCTGCCCCCTTTCCGCCACGGTTCCTCTCCCCTGCCTCTCACAGGGCCCGGATTGCCCTGCATGGATGCCCTCGACCTGGGTGGGTCTTGGCTTCTTCTTATCTGTTGTGGGGTCCTGGATGTGTCCCTGGCCACGTTTCTCCCCAGCCCTCTGGGGGCAGAGAGAGACACCTTCCTCCCCTAGTTTGAACAAGGCCCTGTGGCAAATGTCGAGTGGGCTGCAGAGGGCCAGGCCTGATTACGGTGTGTGTTCTGGCCAGCTACAGCAGAGTGAGAACGGGAAGGATGTGCAGTCAAAATCAGTGTCCCAGCCACGAGGCCGGGATTTTCTCAGAGGCAGTTGGACCACAGGCTCCTGCGCTCCCGTGAGGGCCCGTGTTGGGAGAAGGAGCTTGACGCCATGTGGACACTGTGTTGACCTTTCCTGCACATGCTGGGTGGCACCTCTCCTCTGTCCCAGGTCTGTGCCCATGTGGGATTGCCACCTTCCGTGAAAGCTTCAGGAACTGGCCAATCGCCTTGTGGGGGGCTGCCCGTGTGCCCCTCTCTGGCTCACACATCCCTGTCTTCTTATCAAAGATTGTACTTCATGCAACGCCTCCTTTCTCTGGATTCCTAGGGTTACGTGGCAATCTGCTTGCTTCTGTCTCGTAGGTACTGAAACCAGGTAAAAGTGTGTTGTTTCGCGACTATGGGCTCAATGACCACGCCATGCTCAGGTTTAAAGCCGGCAGCAAGCTTGGAGAGAATTTCTACGTGCGCCAGGACGGAACCAGATCATATTTTTTCACCGCCGGTAAAGGGACAGCCTTCACTCTCACCTTCCCCTCCTTCCTCCCGGTAGCATCGAGAGCTGCTGGGCTGGGGGGTGGTGGGGGGACCTGCTGCCCTTTGCTCACCGCCCCATACCCCAGGCCCTGGACCTCAGACCCCAGGCCCACCTGCATGGCCTTTGCCCAGGAGCACATCAGCTCCCCCGGGGATTGCATTTGCTCCAAGGAGCCAAGGGAACAAATTAGAAACTTCTGGGTTCAAACAAAAGTAGCACTGTAGCACTGTCCTCCCATTGTTCATCAATTTGCTCGAGTGGGCACCAGTAACATCTCCATTGTGAGACTTGTTGTTACTGTGTTTGGCATATTGAATACGCCACAGGGAGCTGGCCAGGCTCTGCCGTGCGGGTGGGGTGGGATACTTTGGGTAGCTTGCTGGGCTCTCTGAAAGGGACGGAGGAATCGAACCCGGGTTGGCCATGTGCAAGGCAAAAATGCCCTACCCGCTGTGCTATTGCTACAGCCCTAACCCAAAGTAAAGCAAGTAAAATCCATGTGATGCCCTGAGATGTCTTTCCTGGTCCAAAAGGCCAGACACCTCTTTCTGTGGAAGCAGCAGGGCGTGGGGGGTGTGGAGAGATAGCTCAGTGGGCTGGAGCATGTGTTTTGCATGCATCAGCCCCGGGTTCCCATCCCATGGCCCTCTAAGCACTTCTAGGAACAGCCCCCGAGCACAGGACCCGGGAGTACCTCCTGAGCACCGCCAGGTATGACTCCGAACAAACAAGTCCTGACCATGGTTGACCCTTTCTGTCTTACAGAATTCCTGGCGCGACTCTTCAGGGATGCAGGTTATGAAGAAGTGGTGAACGAGTACATGCTTCGGGAGACCGTGAATAAGAAGGAAGGCCTGTGTGTCCCCAGAGTTTTCCTACAGAGCAAGTTCCAGAAGACGCTGAAGAACCCCCCTCACTCCCAAGACCCCTGAATCCCAAGTCTGAACCTTTCGCAGGGCTGAGGTGGTGCCTTCCCTTGAGATGTTGAAAGTCACTCTCGAGTTGAATATTTTTTTATATTGTAATTCTTGAAATGAATGTATGTGATTTTTTTGTATTATTAAATATCAAGCAAATGTATCTGTCCCAGAAAGCCAAATAAAATTCTGCGGCCGTAGAAAGAAAGAAGTTGAGTGGTGGGGCTCAGGGATGCATCATGAGGGCATTGAGCTTCACAACCTTGCATCCTGGGGAAGGAATGTCTGGGGCCCCTGAGCTGGGCCATTGCAGTTTCCAGAGGAGTTGAAAGGGCAGAGTTGGTAAGAGAATGCCCCCACCTCCCCCGCGCCGTCTTTTTGGTCCGTTGCTTTGTATATTTTCTGCCCTAATGCAGGTTGGGAGGCACCACTGCTGAGGTTGTGCAGAATCTGTTCTGAGCAGTCCTTGACTTGGCTTGGCAGTGTTTTTTGTTTTGTTTTGTTTTTGTTTTGTTTTGTTTTTCATTTTAAAAAAAACATTTTTTCGTGGTATCACTGTGAGATACAGTGTTACAAAGTTGCTCATGATTGGGTTTCAGTCATGTAATGTTCTTCTACCAGTACACATTTCCCTCCACCAAAGTTCCCAGCTTCTCTCTTGCCACTGCCTCTGTGGCAGACTCCCCCCTCCCCCTCCCTCTCTCCTTCCCTCTCCTCCCCTCTTCCCCCTTTGAGCATTGTGGTTTGCAATATTGATACTGAAAGGTTATCCAGAATATTTCTTACCTACTTTCAATTCTCAGATCTTGTTCAGCGTGATCATTCCCAGCTATTATTGCCATACTGGTCTCTTCTCTATCTTACCTACCCTCAGCCCCACACACACTTGTGATTAGTTCCAACCATTGACCAGACCTCCTAACCCCCGTTTTCTCTGGCCATGGATATTCTTCTTCTCTCTCTATTTTTTTATATTCCACAAATGAATGCAAATCATTCTGTATCTGCCCCATTGTTGGGTAACATTGCTTTGTCCTTCAAGAAGCTTAGGTTTTATCTGGTTACACCCATTAATCTTGTTACACCCATCAATCGTTACACCCACCACAGTGCTCCAGAGGCACTTCCACTTCCATTGTGTTTACATGTAAACATGTAAACAGTCTTCCCTATGCTCTCCTTCCCACCCAGTTAATCAGCTTTCCCCTAATCAGACTTTGTTAATTTGTAAGATCAGTTTCCCAGAAATCTATGATTTTATATGTCACTTAATCACTTAACTTCCCGTTAGTCGTCGATTTGCTCGAGCGGGCACCAGTAACGTCTCCATTTGTCCCTGTCGCGTGCTAGTGTAGCCCAATGGCATCTGTTCGCTCCGGGAACATGAAGGGCCTCAAACCGATCGTTCATGATCTTGACGAAGAAGTCTGACCATCTGGAAGGTGGGCGGCCACGCGGTCTTTTGACATCCCGTGGAATCCAGTCGGTAACAGCTCTAGTCCAGCGGTCGTCTTTAAATCTCATTATGTGACCAGCCCATCTGATTTTCGACACCTTGGCAAATGAGACAGCGTTCCTGATTCTTGATTGTCGACGGATGTCAGAACTCCAGATTCTTTCTCTCGTTTGAGTGAAACGTGATATTCCAAGCATAGCTCTTTCTATTCTTCTTTGGGAGACCTGAATAGCATTCTCATCCTGTTTGCGTAGGGCCCAGGTCTCTGAGGCATATGTTAATGCAGGAAGAACAGTGGAATCAAAGAGATGTGCCCGGAGCCGGAGGTTCTTCGTCCTCTTAGCTATTTCTTCGACGTTCTTGAAGGCGTTCCAAGCCGCTCTCTTCCTCCTGCGCAGCTCGGGTGCCAGGTCATTTCTCATGTTGACCTCTCGACCTAGGTACACATAGCTGTTGCATTCGGAGATGGTCGTTCCATTGAGAGCGAATGGGGCGTCAGGAACAAGGCTGTTTCTCATAAACATTGTCTTCATAAGATTCAGCTGTAGTCCTACCTTTCCACACTCACGGTCAAAGTCGGCCAGCATTTGTGCTGCTTGGCTGATGTTTGGTGTTACTAAAACAATGTCATCAGCAAAGCGGAGGTGGTGTAGTTGCCGACCATCTATCTTCACTCCCATTCCTTCCCATTCCAGTCGTTGCATGATGTTCTCGAGGGTGGCACTGAAGAGTTTCGGTGAAATGGTATCACCCTGCTGAACCCCTCTCTTGACATCAATGATCACTTCTTTGTAGAATGGTGAGATCCTGGTAGTGAATCCGCAATACAGCTCACGGAGGATCCTGATGTATTGGGCTTGAATGCCCTGATTGGCTAGGGCTTCAATGACTGCTTCCGTCTCAACAGAATCAAAGGCCTTCTTTAAATCAATGAACGTTAGACAGAGTGGCATCTTGAACTCAATGAGCTTGGTTATCGTGTGGATATGGTCAATGGTGCTGAATCCTTTGCGGAACCCTGCTTGCTCGCCTGGTTGTCCTTCATCTAGTGTTCTGCCAATCCTATTTAGGATGACTCGAGTGAACAACTTGTAGATGACAGACAATAGGCAGATCGGGCGATAGTTGCCAATGTCATGGATGTCTCCCTTCTTGAACAGTAGTACGGTCCTGCTGGTTTTCCATTGGGACGGAACCTTGCATTCAGACAGGTAGCGAGTGAAGAGCCGACCCAGTGTATTGATGAGTACTGATGGCAGGTTCTTCAGGTGACCAGTAACTACAACTGGTCTCATTCACCTGATTTTATATGTATGAGTGAAATATTGCCTTTTTCCTCTCCTTATGCCTTATGAACAGTTTACAGTTTACTTTAAAGTAATATCCTTTTTGTATAGATACAGGAAGACCGTTAACATTATGCTTTGTAACTTAGGATTTGATTGACCTTCACTCCCGGGCATCTGCTTTCTCCACTTAAGCCTCAGTTGCCCTTAGTTCCTAACACCCCAAAAGCAGGGTCCCGACGAGGGACTGAATGGACCCAGGGCAAGCGGTGAGCTACCCTGGCAGCGAAATGGGCCAGGCCAAAGTGTCACGATTCTTAGCTATAAGTTAAGAGTTTGATCATAGACAAATGCTGTCATGATCCAAAGGTAACGACAAGACTAGGATCCTGCTAGGGGTGGGAAAGACTATCTGGCCTGAGCACCGTAGTCTGAGATCGAGATGGCCCTAGGAGAGCAATTCTATAAGTTTAAGATATTTCTTACTGTATCCATACAAAATGATTTATATTATATTCTTATATGCTTGTCGGACAAGGAGAGGAGAGGCACGCCTATGGGATTATGCTCTATGGTGGGTCCTCCTGCTGAGGAAGGATCTGTCCTAGGAGCAGTCTTCCCTGAGGCCAAGATTTCTACCCCTATTGATTTCTACCCCTATTGATTGTGACCACACCTATGTGTAATTGTTTCCCCAATTCCTGATGGAGAGAGGATTTAACTGTACTGTAGGAGCGGGCTGGGGGGAGAAGGAAGAAGAGAGTTCAGAGAGGATCAGAAGGAAGAGGAGGATGAAGGGGGTTGGAGAAGGAGAATGAAGTAGCATGGGGGCAGAGACAGAAGGAGAGACGAGGAGAGACAGAGAGAGACAGGAGCAGAGACAGATGAGGAGAGAATCAAAATAAACTACGACTAATACCTACCAGCCTGGCCCTCGTTCCTTCCTCCGCCTGACCTTCGCCATCGACCTCTCCGGGGTGGGAGAAGGGTGAGACTACCGAACGCGGGTGGCGGGAGAGATAGAGCCACCGCCGCTGTGGGTGCCGAGCCCCTCTTTGTGTGAGCTTACACACCCCATTTCTTCTGATTCATTTCACTCAGCATGATATTCTCCATGTCCATCCATTTATAGGCAGAATTTCATGACTTGATTTCCCCTGACCGCTGCATAGTATTCCATTGTGTAGATTTACCATAATTTCTTTATCCATTCATCTGTTCCTGGGCACTCAGGTTGTTTCTAGATTCTGGCTATGGAGAATAGTGCAACAGTGAGAAAGTCATTTTATTTTATTTTATTTTTGAAATTTTTATTAGTGAAACACCATGAGGTACAGTTGTAGACTTACAAATTTTTGTGCTTGGGTTTTAGTTATACAATGATCGAGTACCCATCCCTCCACCAGTGCTCATTTTCCACCACCATGGGTCCCAGTATCCCTCCCACCCCCCATCCCCCTCATCCCACCCTGCCTCTGTGGCAGGGCATTCCCTTTTGTTCTCTCTCCTTTTGGTTGTTGTGGTTTGCAAAAGAGGCATTGAGTGGCAATCATGTTTGGCCTATAGTCTACTTTCAGCATGCATCTCCCATCCTGGGAGGATCCTCCCAACACCCTTTACTTGGTGCTCCCTTCTCTATCTGAGCTGTCTAGAGTGTGCGGCTGGCCTCCAAGCCATGGAGTAAACTGCCTGGTACTTATCTCGGCTATTCTTGGGTGTTAGTCTCCTATTTTGTTACTTTATATCCCCCAGATAAATTCAATCTTTCTATGTCTATCCCTCTTTTTCTGACTCATTTTGCTTAGCATGACACTTTCCATGTAGTACCACTTGTATATAAATTTCATGACTTCATCCTTTCTAACAGCTACATAGTACTCCATTGTGTAGATGTACCAACGTTTCTTTAACCAGTAATCTGTTCTCCGGCACTCAGGTTTTTTCCAGATTCCAGCTATTGTAAACAGTGCTGCAATGAACAAACAAGTGCAGATGTCACTTCGACTATACTTTTTTGCCTCTCCGGGATATATTCCCAGGAATGATATTGCTGGGTCAAATGGGAGCTCAATTTCTAATTTTTTGAGAATCGTCCATACTGTTTTCCAAAAGGGCTGAACCAGTAGGCATTCCCACCAGCAGTGAAGGAGGGTCCCTGAGAAAGTCATTTTAATTAAACCTGGGGTTGATGAAAGGGCAGGAGTTTAGAGTTGGCACCACAAGGTGGCGCTAGATACCTAATGTATCGTCTCCCTGGACTCACCTTGGTCGGAGCATCCGTTTTTATTGTCTCCAGAGAGAAAGAAAAATGCTTAGGCTTGTGTTTTGGAGTCTCCTTTAGAAACAAAGGGCACACTTCACCCAGCATCCGGGTTTCTTTGCCGACCAACCGAAGGCAATTTGCTTCCCACTAAGTTCA